AAAAGATGCTTTTTTATTATTGTCGTTTTGGTTTTTATGTACGTGTAAGTACCACCCCCATGGCCCCCTATTCCCAAATAATTAAAATAATATACCAGGTGAATAAAAAGTATGAAACTAAACGTTTTTTGCTTAAACTATTTTTTTTTTGAAAAAACTAATTGATGAATGATAAAGTACAATAAAAATGTGATATTTAGCAAGAATAAAATTTTTCAAAATTTTCTTTTGTTTGTGAGTTCTACTTTTTTAAATGGCAACTCACTATAAAACTATATATTTTTCTATAAAGGTTGTGATCTAAGGATTGCAACTCAACTATCCATATTTAATTTAAAAAATTTCTTTTACATAAATTGCAATTTTGACCAAAAACAAAACAAAATTTTGTTTTCAAAATATGATTACATACATTCTTTATATTACTTTAATTTATATTAATTATTATTATCTGGAGGCAAATGATTTAAAAAAAAACCGCTTGGTTCCATACTTTATATTCACCCTGTATGTATATTTCTTGATAATTATTTTGATGAATAAATGTTTATGTCAGTCATGTTGTAAACTGGGATATCAAATTATATTTTTGATAGTTGTTGGAACAAATTTTGTAAAAAGTAGTGCTATTGTTATTAATGATACAAATTTTGTTTTACCGGAAATGCTCCTAAACTGTATTTTAACACAATTTATTTTTCATAAATTTTGGTTGTTTGAGAAGAGATAAAATTGCTGGAAAATTTATAATGACTGTACTGCTCAAATAAGTTGAAAATTACTTTTATAGTATATATAAGATACCTGCCTGCTGCCTGCAACCTGTAGTATCTACCTAAACAAAATATTTCGTTATTACAAAATTGTTTTATATTATACTATTTATATTTTGTTAATATGTACGGGAAATTAATTATACAGCTTAAAAATTTCATTAAAATTCACTACAATACTAAATTAATTTGGTAGAGGTTTAATTAATTAATAACAATTTTTTTTCAAATTGTTATAAAAAAATGTTTTACAGGTAAAATTCACTTCAAATCAACTATACCTTAAATCAATTTGTGAATTGGTTACCATTTTATCGTTATGACTAAAATCATTTAGCGCTTAATAAACGCCTAATCATTTTTTTTGTTTACGTATGTGTTAAATATAAATTAATGCCTATTTCTCATCGATCAAACAAACCCTAATACAAATTAGTTCATTGGTTGTTTGAATAAGAAGTTTTGTAACCACTACGCATGCCTCTCTGTCTATCTCCCACCACATTTTCAAACGCGCTAGTATTATATACTTAGGGTACACAAAAGTTTATATAATCGAATTGTATCAGGCAGTGGAGGTACTTGCACGTGTTAGTGTGTGTTTTGGTTTAGAAAAAAAATGTCGCGGAAATCTGGAAAGGTACCTCTACATGAGGCATGCAAGGTAAAATTTAAATCAATTCATAAAATAAAAAAAAATAAGCGAACTAAAATTAGATGCGAAAATAATGCGGTTTGGGATGGGTGCCAATCTTTTTTTAATGTTGACTTTAATTTTTTTTAAGTAAATAACTTTGATTAACATTATTTCTTGGTTTCAAATTTGTTATTTAAAAGTTTGCGATTTGTCGGTGACGGAAATGTGGAACCGCAAAAGGAAATGAGTTAGATATATCGACGTAAGCAAATGTTGGTTTTCTGATAAGATTACATTTCGTCATCTCTAAGGTATATAATAATCGATTTGGAGGAATTTTATTAATCGATTAGTTTAGTTTGCTGTGGCCGGATTATGTTTGAAATTGTCAGTTTTATTCGTACAAGCAAAAAACGCGAAAACTTTGCTAAATTTGTCGAAACAGCAAATAAAAGCGGCATCTGGTCGCCGCGAAGTAGTGGAAAATTACCAGCACAGAAGCGGTTTCGGAGTTTAGTTGACATTTTTGAGATGCTTTTACTCATTTCATGTTTTATTTATACCACTTTTTCAAAAACTTTTCGAAATGACGCAATTTTATAAAAATAAAACTCATTATCGACATTTGCTAATTAATGTTAGGATGATAACAATACAAGCGACTTGGCATGATTTCGAACAACTTTCACAATTTTTCGTTTATTTATTTTTTCCAATTTTAACTTTATATGCAAAAATTCATAGTCAGTATTCAAGGTATTCTGTAATAATGAAATTATGTATATTTTAATGATATTCAGAATTTCTAATGAACGGTTTCATAAAAATGCAAGACTTGCCTATTTATGGAAACAATTAATGAGGTGTTATTTTTTTTCTTGATCATCGTATAATTTCTGAAGTGACAAATTTCGGGTTAAGAATTACATTGTGTATTTATTTCGTCACTTTTCGTCATAAATATTTATTGTTGTCAAGAGTTGTGTAGTCTTCAGCCTTGAGACACGTGGTTAATACCCCCACTTCTACTAGTTTGAAATTTTCTATGAACCAGTGGCGTACCACTTGCTTGCAAGTCGGGGACATGTAACAATGAGGAAAATAAACAATCTTCCAAATGGATATTAGCCAAAGAATCTGCCATCACATGCACGTGTTAAAACACGCACGTTCTCTGGATGTGATCCAACATGCTTCAATTCGAAAATTCGGTCCCAAAAGGTTACATTTTTATCTTTCGGTTTCAGATTACTCAATTCATTGACATGCAATTAAATTACGTGCAAACAGTCGTCCTGAAGGGTCCGACCCCTATTGATTGTTGCCAACGTGACACCAGTTCTAGGAACTGGTCTGCGTGGATAAACTTTCCACAGGACCTCTATTGTCGAAGCAACAAATATTCTATTATTACTGCTGAATAGCTGAAACCCTATATACTCGTGATAGTGTTTATTTTGCGTAGCAATAATAATAAATCAAATGTCGCATAATCATAAAGAATTTTGCAAACCGTGACCAAGTGAATCACTTTGCATTTCCTCCTTTTGGACTAGAAAGGTCGTAATAAATCTATAAAAAGTGACCTTGCTTGAGTGAACTGCACTATAAATCGGATGTTCCGAATGTTCAATGACAGTTTCGATCGATTTTTTTCCAAACAATTCTATTGTCTTAACTCGTCGTTGCATATCAAAGTGTTTCCATCCCGGCATTGCGAGCTCAAAAAATTAAATTCACCAAATCTGGGTTGAAAAAAAGGTCAAATTTATATCTTTAACAAATTTTTCTATTAGTCTCGAAAGTTGACGTTTTTTACATAAACTGAGTGATTTAAGCCTAAGAGTTAAAAAAAAATATAGAACTATATTATATTTTCTTAACAGTTAAGAAATTTTTGCCTCGGTGTGGCAAAATCTCGCGAAAAACGGATTTTTTAATTTACAAGCCTGCTTAAGCTCTCGAAAGAGGTAAAAATGACATCATTTACGGACTAATTCTACGATTTTTCGGCTTATTTTGTACAAAATTTGGCGAAATTACAGTTTTTCTAGCTATTTTTTTTATTTTTTGGTTTGTTTAAGTGAAGTTTCTCAAAAACCTTAGGTTTTACTACAAAAACGTACTTAAGAGCATTTTCGAGCAAATTTTGTGGTTTCTCAGTTTAATTTTGTTCAAAAAGCAGTTAAGTCGAGTGAAACAAACAAAATAACAGAAACATAAATTCTTTCTGTGATTTTTAGCTAATGTCAATTTGATTTTTAAATTTTTTAACCTGTTTGAAAGAAATTTTTTTGTTTTGTTTTTTGGCTTGTTTTTAACGTAATTTTGTGAAATAATTGTGTTTCTAGCTGAAAAATGTACCTACAATCGCGGACACAGAGTATTGGATGATTTCTCATTCGACTAACATAAAAATGTAAAAGGGGCCTTATATAACTAACCTCACTTTTGGTTTTTGTAATTTTTATCTTGACAGTTAAAGAAAAATTGGCAACAAATCAAAATAATTTATTGAACTTATATAAAAACACGTATTTCAACTAAAACTTTAAAATTTTGGTTTCAAACGTCATTCATAATGACAACAAAACGTAGTTTTTGAACTGACATAAATTTGATGTCCAAAATTCCGTGTCCGCAATTGTACAAAAGCATCTGCTTAATAAAGTCTTGCATAAGAAGCAAATAGAACTAGTTTAACCAATTTTTTTTAATTTAAATTTTAAATAATCAAGTTTCTGGTTGAAAATGTAGAAAATGCTCAAAAAAGATGCAGAACTTCAGAATTTATTTTTTTTTATTTTCAACAAATTAATAGATATTATAATTTTTACAAAAATTTTCACTAAATCACCAAACCTGGCAACAGTGGAATTAAATCACTTGTTGGCACTTGTTTTGTAGATCAAGGCGAGTCTCAAAGGCCGCGAATAGTGTTTTCGTGAAAATTCGCAAATTTTGATTATAATAAAAACGAGCGAAGCTATTTGGGTCAGCTCATAACCACTTCTTCGCATCGTTATTTGGATTCCACAAAGTGTAAATTTTTCGTCAACTTTCCCACAATACATTTTTTAATTAGAGCATGGCCCCAAAAGTAGACGAAACCGTCAAAGTAATTCGAAAGGTAACTTGAGGATTACCGAGAAGGTCATTTACCTGCAACTAAAACTGCGCAATTTATAAATTCAGAGCCGGTGCAGCAGAATAGAAAAGCTAGGAATGTTAACAAGTTAGCGCACTCGTAAAACGATTTCTATTCTATACTGGAAGTTTATAATAAGCATAATTTCACCCATAACGATGTATTGTGTTTGGGAGAAATTATCGGTTTTTTACGGTTTACGCTCAAGCGAAACAATGCCAATTCAGGTAGGTCACTTCTTCACAAACTTCTTAGGTCAAGTTATAAATCAACTTGAATTTTTGCACAATTGTTTTCGCCTAATTAATCGATATCAGTGATTGTTCTTTCTAGAACAAGTAGGTACTTAAAAGTTTCCTATGAGTATAAAAAGAGTGCTTGATGGTTAGATAGACTAGAACAATTGGTTTTTGTCTCTATTAAAGTTGTGCTCTTGTTCCAGCCTAAACTCCTCATAGCTCAAGTAGACCAGAAAAAGGGTGGTGTTAACACAGAAATAATGACTAAGTAAGTACAAAAGCTCCATCTCTTAATAATACATTCATTCACCGACATCACAAAGCTTCTTTTTGAAGGTATCAGAATTTTTACTTATATCAACAGAAATCAAATTATTTAATTACAGACTTAGTACTGGTGATTGGACTTGAGTGATTTAAAAACCATGTATATTTGCAGACAAGTCCATTAGGGCGCTTTTTCCATCACCACAATGTACAATTTAATCCTATCAAGTACACATTTGGAGGTTCTCTTACTCCACATTTCTATCTTATCGCGATATTTAAATATTGGTTGTATGGTCTATTTATTATGTAATTTGATTTTGCGTCATGTTATTAATAAATTGTACGTTGTGGTTATGCCACCACCTCGGTTTTTTACTAATAAACAGCTAAAAAGATCAGAGCGAATCATTTGAGAGTGATCGAAGGGCATCATGCGTATATACATGGTTTGATCATAGTGTTGTTTGATTACATTTTGTAAGTTTTGTAAGATTATTGGCATATACCGGAGCTGCTAGAAGTGCTTCTACCGCACCTGTTGCGATGTGGTTGTGCTGCGGAGCTACGGAATTAGAAGGACGATCAACGGTACAATTACCTATATTTCTTAAGTTTAAAAGTACAATTTGTACAGAAAAGTATTGTAGACTTACAAATTCAAGTTTTATTCCTTCCTTCAGTTCTTGAACGTAAATATATTTTTTTTACATTTACATTCTTTCAAACCTCACTCATCCCGAGTTCGAGTCTCGGCCATAAAATAATTTTCTGATCATTGGAGTGTAATTACAAAATTTTGGCCAAGACTCGAATCCTTTTATCCATAATCCATTTGAGTCAATTCTCTATGTTTTGCACTAATAAATCTAACATCTTTCTCTTTCACATCCAAGTCGAGTGTATTTTCTAACTCAAGATATTTTCAGTCATAAATGTGAAAAAAATGAAGTATCTGTGCCTTCTGCCAATGGCTCGACAGTACCTTTGGTTAATGCAGCACGCGGAGATGAAGAATTGGGAGATTATGATCCATTTGCCCACCGAAAACTTGACCATCCCACATCGTGAGTAAATTCGGGAAGAAATCACACCACAAAACTAAAACTTGATTTACAGTGATTTGGACACGTTGATTCATTTATTGAAAGGGAGTTTGGGTAGTGGAATTTTGGCCATGCCTATGGCGTTTGCCAACGCTGGTCTTTTCTTCGGATTGTTTTGTACGTTTGCCATTGGTAGCATTTGTACTTACTGCGTGCATATATTAGTCAAGAGTGCACATGCTTTGTGTAGAAGAAATAAAGTTCCATCTTTAGGTTACGCGGAAGTAGCCGAAGCGGCTTTCTTAGCTGGTCCAAAATCGATTCGTCCATGGGCCAAGTTTGCCAAAGCCATGATTAATCTCTTTCTCGTAATAGATCTTCTGGGATGTTGTTGTGTGTATATAATGTTTGTCGCTGAGAATATTAAACAAGTTGTTGACAATTACACACCGAAGGACACTCATCAAGACATTAAGATTTACATGGCGGCGCTGTTACCTCTACTTATCTTAATCAATCTTATAAGAAATCTAAAATACTTGTCACCGTTATCAATGATTGCCAATATCCTAGTCGCCTCGGGAATGGGTATCACTTACTATTATCTCATTAATGATATGCCGTCTCTTGATGAGAGACCAAAAATGGTTGAGATCACAAAACTGCCCAAATTTTTTGGTACTGTTATCTTTGCCTTGGAAGGCATTGGTGTCGTAATGCCTCTAGAAAACAACATGAAGACTCCCACTCATTTTATTGGTTGTCCTGGAGTATTAAACATCGGGATGTTTGTGGTAGTTCTCTTATATGCTACTACTGGTTTCCTCGGTTATAATAAATACGGCCCATTAACACAACCTAGCATCACGTTAAATCTTCCAGAAAGTGAACCGTAAGTTAACCTTTTAGGAACATTACCAACACTAACTTCATTGATTTCAGATTGGGACAATCCGTGAAGTTGATGATTGCAGTTGCTGTTTTCTTCACCTACGCTTTGCAATTCTATGTCCCAATGGAGATTATCTGGAAGAGCTTGAAGGGTTTGTTTAACAAGAGACCAAACCTATCAGAATACAGCATTCGAATTAGTTTAGTAATTTTAACTGCGGTCATTGCCATTCTTGTTCCTGATCTTGAGGGTCTGATTTCGCTAGTAGGTGCGTTATGTCTTTCGATGTTAGGGTTGATTTTCCCAGCTATTATTGACTTAGTCACGTTTTGGGAAGACCCAGGTTTTGGAAGGCTAAATTGGCGGTTGTATAAAAACATTTTGTTGATTTTCTTCGGCTTTGTGGGCTTTGCCACGGGGACTTATGTCAGCATACAAGGAATCATTGAGAGAGCAAATAGTTCATAATTTAGGCGGTTTTCTATCGTCTCTAGTGCTAAAAATTACTTTCTATGTAAAATCTAACCAGTGTCGAGTCGAAACTCTATAGAGTTTCAAATTAAGCGGCTGGAACCCGGCTTAGTGAGATCAAACAATTTCGGATTCTCTGTTTAGATTAGTTAAAGCACCAAAGGGGACGTTTAGAAAACGCTTTATTTTTAGTGTTGAAAAAGTAGACTGCAAGTACAACTGTGATTGCTGTAATTTTATGTTTACTTCATGAACCTTGCATTGATTCCTTTATATTGGCTTATTTTTTTTGTATAGTGAGACATTCTACATTCATTCAGTTATTTATATCTACCATTGTGATTTTTTTAGGTAATAAGTTACTAACCGTTTACACTGTAAAGTTTTTTGTTGGTGTTCATTATTTTTTATTTTCTTTAAAACAAAATTTTTGACGATGAACACCTACAATTACAGTTTTCTTTAGCAATCGCTGTATTTAGTTCCAAAGGAACTGACTTGATGGTGCCTTATATGAAATTTTAATCTGGTTTTTTCCAGACGCTGAAACATTGTTGATACCGTAATTTGTTGGAAAATTGATTGATTTAGATATTATTTTTATGTTCCTTATATTTACAAATAGACAAGGAAAAATTCACACGTTTCATATTCGAAATTTAAAGTAACTGATTATTTTCAAGTCAAATAAATTTATGTATTTGGCATTTTTTCAAAGTTTTTTATAATTATTATTGCCAAGCCGTACTACCGTCACAATTAACAACAGCTTAATACATAAATTTAAGTGAAAACTCGAATTAAGTCAGAAGTTCCCTTCTAATTTTAATATCTTGATATTATTGAGTAACATATTTAAAAATAAAACATGGTTTTTGATTAAAAAATAGTTGCTTTCATTTCACCTCTACCCTTGAAGAAGAACAAAATTTTTGTAAACTATTTTTTAGAGTTAGCAGAAGACAAAATAAGTCTTGAAAAACTACCACAGTTTTTTTTTAATGTGAGCTTGAAGAGATCTTAGGAAGAGTTGCTTTCCTCAAAAAAAAATTCAAAAAGGTATATAAAAGTAGGCAAAAAATAAAGCGGTGTTGAATAAAACAGAAGTGCAGTGATAAAGTACCAAATCCTAAGGTAATTATTGTTTTAAAATTGATTAACAGTTATTTTTGTTCGGTAAAGTTTTACAAAAAATATTGATATACTTACATAATTTATTAAAATCAATTAATTACAATGGAATTCTATATCAGTTTCCTATATGCTTTAATAAGACCTTTAATAGGAAATTATTATTTCAAGTTAGCTTGTGATTAATTTCAATTTTTTGAACGATATTTGTGTACATAAAAACTGGCGAATATAATAGTAAGAACTGTACTTGCTCCTAATAAAGTCCATTTAATTATGTCCATCATGGCAACTTTATTAAAATACATTTCTTTCAGTTTTATGATATATTCATCTGTTAACGAAACACCCTAAAACACACATTTTAATGAATAATATTTTTTATGAAATTATGCAATATTTATTACTAATTCTCACCTCTTCAATCCACAGCAGCGGTAATACTGCTCTTGGAAGATTGCTTGTTTGTTTAGCATAAGGAATTGGTCGTAGAACAACATTTAACTGAATTCTTTTTAATCCTTGTAAAGGGGTTCCTGTTTCCTAAAAATGTTTATCAGTTATATTTATAAAAATAGAAAATAGAAATTATTTACGGGTTCTACGAGCAAGAATGTACTGTGTAGATCTTCATTTGGTTTTAGTCCATCTACACCTTTAAGATATTTTTCAGCAGCCCATAAGAAATGGGGGAAAGATAATAATACATTCACTCCTGAATAATTATTGAAAATAAATATTTATGACACTTTTTTTCTTTTCCAAAAGCAACTTGCCTGTACATGGCTCCATGTCGATAACTCCATCCAAAAAGCAGGATTTTTTACCATCGATTCCTCTTGTTTTGTTTGCACAAAAGCAATCTTTCTCTTTTATGGGCGTTTTAGGTCTTAATGTTGTATTGTCAGCGGTAAATAAATACCCTTTTATGCCTTTATAAACTTGTTCTTTTGAGAATTTAATTTCGACAGATCTGCAATTATTAAATTTGTTTAAGAACAATAGAAAAATCAAAACAAAGGATAATAAAAAAAGAAAACAAAAGAATTAATACTTACTAACATAATAGATCGAAATTGTTATTTTATTTTTAGAGTTTTTAACTAATACCTGCATTTTACAAATTGGACAATTTAGTATATTTTTATAAAAAAAAAAACATGAATTTAATAAAAATACAACTTGCTTCTGAAAATTACTGGGGCCCTTAAATTTGGCTTTAAACGTTGAATCGTACGGTTTTTGCAACAAAGATACCGTCGCAAAAAACTTTTGTACTGCTTCAATTAAAAAACAAGACTTGGTTTTGTAAAAAAATATTACAAGTAGCAGCAACAAAACGTGCTGAATTGCTAAAATTAATCAAAAATGATTACTGTTCTAAATTTTATACATTGCTTGTGTTTTTTTAACTATAATTTTACATACAGGTAAACCAAAAGTAGAGCACTAAGGTTATAATTATAATCATTTTTTTTAAATCCTTGGACCGGTTGATTTTATTTTTGTAAATGACACATTTTTGCTATACTAACGACGTTATCAGTATTTTTTTTTAATGGCAACTAACATTTTACTTTACTGTTTTTGGAAATATTTTCTTTTAAAAGATAGAACAATATATACCTATTACTAAAAACACTCAACAAAATTGTTGATTGCCATTAAAAACATTAATGTTGACGTCATTACTGGCTCAATGTAGCATTTATATATATAATAAAAATTAAATCGACCTGTTTGAGGATTTTTTAATAAATGGCCTATAACAAAAATGTGAATTTTGTGTGTTACTTTTGGTTCATTCTGTATGTACATACTTCAGTGCATCTCTATATCGACTATACAAACCATAGAGGAATAAATAAACTATTTATCATTCCATGATACACCCCTACTGTTTTTCAGCCGAGTCATAAAGGATGTAAAAAAAATATTTTCGATTAAGATACTCAAAAAATTTGTGTTTCTATCTATCGAAGATTTTTTTTCTTTTAATTATTTCTAGAAACCATTAGAAATTCATTCATTGAATGTATTATTTCTGTTTTGTAAGAAAAATGTCTAATTAAAATGGTAGTAAATTATCGGTAATTTGTTTCACTACGACAGCAAGATGACCGGATTTGGGTTCATGTGAATTGTTTTAGTTTTGTGTGTTTTCGTGTTTTGATGATGTAGACGCACTATTTTGTGCCTTTTGACTCTAAATATGATCTTGGTTTGGCAATTTGGGCTTTAGTTTAGTCCACTGACGGCTAGAATAATTTCTAAAATTTGTTTCCGGTCAAATATCTCGAAAAGTCCTAGTTGTAAGAACATTCCGATTGCAGATTTGGAATTCTCGGAAAATTTTGCACCAGGCAAGTCCACTGTTCTTATGTTAATTGATTATAGGTGGTGCATTTTTTATGTCGTCCAGTTTAACACAATTGGAAATAATGTTTTCACACCTTACCTGCATATATCTGTAGAGTAGATTTGAAAAATATAATCTTTTCTAACATAAGGGGGGTATAAAGTAGCATCAGTGCCTTGAACTTTATCACAGGAAGTGGAAGTGTTTTTTTCTAAACCATGCCAGTAATCAGTATACGTCGCATTGTTCCACCTTATAATTTGACCAAGAGAATGTACATCTTTTATGCCTCTTTTTACCGTATAAATTCCATCGTCAGACTTAGATTTCTAGAAAAAAATTACGTGTTTTCAATATTCTTCGATTTTTGCACCTACATAGCCAAAAAGGGAAAATTTCAAAGAGTCATCAGGTAACTTTTCAACATTCTTTAAATTTGCTGCTATATTACATGCAAGAGTCCTCTGAACCTCGCAAGAGGAAAAGTGTCGAACACAAAATCTAACTCCATCGAAAAGAATATCTTTGACTCTAACTCGGATGAATATACTGCTCATGTTGGGAAATATATCATCCAAACACTGGGATAAACCTCCAGCCATTTGATTAAACGGTTCAGCCATTTGCAACATACTCTAGAAATTACATTTTTTTGATTAGAAACGTAAATATTTAAAAATTTTACAATAGCAGGAGCATTTAGTATTGTGATGTAATCTTCATCTGAAAAATTACCAGAGGCTTCTTGATCGAATTCAAATCGTTCTTTTTGTGTGTAAGAAATGGTATCTTCTTCTTCATTTACATCAAGAATTGTTTTTCGTCTGTACTGTCTTTAAAAAATTTAATTCATTTTTTAAGAAACATTATTTTACAAACTCACTTGTATGCGTATGGCCCTTTTTCTTTAATGACAGGTTTTGCGCCTTTGTATATCTCATCTACATTTTCTACGTTAAAGAAATATACTTTGAAAATAATGGGAAAGGGTAACTCCACAAATCGGTCATATTGTTCGTTACCTTTTATTAATTGTACGCTCTAAAAAATTTGAAACTGAAAATAATTAAATAATAATTTTAGTTACTTACCTTGTAAATTTCAGCCTTTATGCCATCGGGAAATACCTTAATTATTAACACCGCTGATAGTACTACTAAAATGCTCGAAATTATTAACGCGGTTAAAATAATTTTGGATTTTATTTGTGGCGCAAACATTTTGTGTATAACTTTAACAAATCTTGGCCAAAACTGTTCCTATATAATTAAAGATTGGTGCTAAAAAAGGTCAATTTGTTCTTAAAGTAGCTATTGTTAAATTTTTTATACCCACTTATCTATCCTTAAAACCTAAATTTTTATTTACACAAATAATTGTTTGAAAATTGTTTATAATGACATTGAATTTTGATTGTACCACTGTCCTTTATTTATTTTAACTTTTTGAATAATTCAATAAATAATTTTAGGAAGATTTTCGTACTAAAAGTAACAACGTACATGTATTTTTTATTCACTAACAGAAATTTATTACTCATAAAAAATTTTACGGTTATTTTGTGTTATCGTGTAACAAATCGTTATTCGTATTTAAAATTCACGTATAAGTACCAGGTTTATAAAAAATATTAAATAAACGATAATTATACATTTAGGAAACAAACTACATAAAATACATAAATACATCTCAAAAAAAGGAAAAGACATTTTTTTAAGTATAAAACATATACAGGGGGTCCTATCGGGTTGGTTATGACTTTTAAATGTTGAAATACATATTATCTATTACTAATGGTGGATTTACACTTCCATATTTAGGATTTATCATTTAAGATTTATTTTAAGAATTTACATTTCAGAAGATCAATTATGGTTATCATTTGACATTTAAGCTTTAGTGTTTAAGATTTAATTTAAGAGTTCCCAAGTTTTATTTTTTTACGTTAAATGATAAATAAAATTGGTAAAATCTATGACGGTCAGAACCTTGTCATTACTGACATTAATTACACTTGATAAGTAAAACTTTTATACGAGATTTACATCGGTTTATCCTTAAATAAGTACTTTTTGGTTAATTTAGAAGTATAAATTCGAAAAAATGTCTAATCCGTTAATTTTTAAATTAAATCTTAAATGATATGGAAGCATAAAACGTGATAGCTTGAACGCTCTCACACCCGTGTAAAACGCTAATTTAACCATCTTTGTCACACAATACCAATTGTTTTTTCTTGGAGATTGTTGGAAAATTTTGACGTACCAAAAGTAGAAAACGACGAAAGATGGAAATTGAGTGAAAATAAAAACAATAATTCACTCATAATTCTTCAAAGCAGTAGAGTTTTATAGAGAAAAACATGCCTGAAAGTGCATAAATTTTAAGTTAAAAAAAAAAAACTTAACAGAGAGTGCGTTGGATTTCAATCATTCAATCTGACACTTCTGACAGTGACATTTCGCGTCAATAAATTTGGGTTATATTCGTTGACGACCTTGAGAGATTGATGATCTCCACAAGTAGATTTGCTTCGCCAATAGCGACATTGTCGGGGCCTTCGCCCCCGTATATGTAGAACTCGCACTAACTGATTCGAAATTGTCGGGGGCTTCGCCCCCGAGTAGAACTCACAATGCCTGACCTTATCCGCAAATGTTCGACACTGGTTTTGCATCGTTTTCTCCGTACATTTCATATATTATTTCCGTCATCTCAAATTTGACTAGCTATTTCTAATTTACAGATTTTTTTCGTCAAACTTCCTCTGTATGGAGTTGAGTTTCAAATAACATTTTACCTTGGGTTTCATTTCATTGCATTTTATTTCATTTTAAGCAGGCTGCGTCATGATCAATGTTACACCTGAAAATATTTTCGTGCCTCGCATGCATCCATCTTTTGTACTTCTAAAGTTCTAAATCAATTTTATTACCATTCATTCGGTTCTCCAACAGACAATTTTGAAATCCGTCAGTTATCACATTTGGAAAGCGTGCTGTGTGCACATGCGCGATGTTTATACAAGGTGATTCACGAGGAATAATGAGCCTGACCAAATTCTCGATGTAACCACCATTACTTTTCGCAAGTTATTATGCGACAGGGCCGTACCCAAGGGGGGGGGGGGGGGCTTAGGGGGTTCAAACCCCCCCCTCGAAATGCTGAGCGCTTTGTTATATAGTGTTATAAGTGTTAAAAATTTAGTTTTTTTGTTATTTTAATGAGTTAATTTTAAATTTTTGTGAATTAATTTTTTATGTGTTAATTATACAGTGTTTTATTTTTATTGTTAGGTACAAATTTAAATAGTTAATAGAATATTTAATTTTAAGATAAAAGTGTTTTGAAAAATGCTATGAAAAGGAGCTACACCCCCTAAAAAAGGTACGTTTTTTAAAGGGTTTTTCCTAATATTTCAGAATAGATAAAATTACAAAATTTGGTACCTTTATTTGTACACCCAAACAAATGCCAAATAACAAAAATTTTAATCAGGGGCGTCCTAAACGGTAAAACAAATTTAATTTTTAATTTTTATGCTGTTTATGGTCTGTAACCTAAATTTTTAAACCGATTTTTACTAAAAATTCGTAAATTGTATCGGAAAAACACAAAAGACTTTTTTTTATGAAAAACTATGAAATTTTGTTGCTGAAAGTGGCAAGAAACCACAGGCAAAATAGTTAGAGTAAATTTTTACCCTAATCCCATCTAGTTTAGGAAGCACCTAATTAAAAATTTCAACATTTTATTTTTGTACTTGTTTAGGTGTATAAAAGTTATCATCTGTAGCAAATTTTGATTTTTTTTCTAAAATGATTTCGGAAATATTAAAAAAAAACATTAAAAGACACACCTCTTGCGTAGCATTTTTCGATATATGTTCATAGAAAATTTTTGTTTTAAAAATGAATATTCATCTCCTGTTTAAATTTGTAACAGTAAAAAGTATTAAAAATTTATTTTATTTTTTGTTACTTTTGTGAGTTAATTTGTATTTTTTATGTTTAATTAGGATCTCTTATTTCAATTTAAAATAAAAACGTGTACTTAGAGATTTTTGCTTTTTAATTCGTCTTCTTTAATTTCATTTTCATGGACCAACAAGAAACCCCCCCCCGAAATAAAATCCTGGTTACGGCCCTGTTATGCGACAACTGTAATGTTGGTTGCATCGAGAATTTGGCCAAACTCATTCCACGTGAATCGCCCTGTATTTCTTGAAAATACATCCCGGCAATAATTTTTAGGGGAATTTAGTAGACCTCAATTCAAACTTCGCGACTTCGAATGAAGTCGGAAGTTGTGCTTAAAAATCTTTCGAAATGGTATTTTATAGAGACAATCGAGAACAATCGAGGACGGGCATTTCTGTTTCTGCGGCCTACACTATGAGCATTCGAACTTTCGACCATTCGTGCCTCTGACCATTCGTCCTTTTGAGCATTCGCACCTCTGGCGCATTTGCACCGACCAGGCAGCAGGCGTATTTAAGTCTTATGCATTTATCTCTGTGACGCCCAAATACTGTTTATGTCACCCTTTTGCCTTTTTTAAATCACCTGCAACGTTTTATCACCGTATTACCGAGGTTTTCGTTTGATTTTCTTGAAGAGTGTGTTCTATGTGTGAAACACATTGACACAAAATGTCAACAACTGTCAGAAGTGTCAGATTGAATGATTAAAATGCAACGCATTCTTGGTTAAGGTTTTTTTAAACGTAAAGTTTAGGCACTTTTTGAGCCATGAAAGTTTCGCGATCGATAGTTTTTTTTATTATATTTTCGTTTTTTATCCCTGCTTAGTCTCCGCATTTTACCGTTTTCCATTTTTAGCATGTCCAAAAATTTTCAACAAAAACAATTGCTATCTCGAGACAAAGATGGTTAAATTAACGTTTTACACAGGTGTGAGAGCGTTCAAGCTATGACGTTTTAGTAATAGATAATTCTTTGTCTTAGTGACGTTGTTAGTGTTCAAATTATGTGTTTTTTGATTAATTTCATTAATTTGTTATAGTGATTGTTAAGTAGTGTTGAAATTGAGTAGTTGAAGATGCCACGGAGAAAACGATTCCACTTCGTTTCTCAAAAAGGAATTGACAGCAAGGGTCGCCCTGTCCGCAAAAGGCGACGTGAGAAGGCCAATAGCAATGAAACGTCGTCGAAGACAACTCTTTCAACAACTTCCATTCAAACAACTGTTGAAAGCGAGAGACAGGTAAGAAAGTAACTTTTTTTTTGAAATCGATTTGCTCTCTGTAAGAAATTGACTTATGCGCAATAATAATAAATAAATGATGCTTTTCCCTGTACTTCATACAAATATACATTTAAGTACTGTGCGATCAAAAAAATAAATTAATTAAAGTAGGCGGTGATTAAAGTCCTTCAGATGGCAATCCTGATTTTTGACATCAAATGTCAGCGGAAACTTTGACAAGTTTGCGTTTTATTCCTTTTGAGTGAAATAATGTTCACTTTAGAGCAGAAAATTTTTATTGCTGTATGGTGAATGGTCACTTTTACTTTCAATTTGTGTGGAAAATTTCCAGCTGAGATTACCAGCTAATGTATTGCCAACTGCTCTAATTTATTTTTTTTTTGATCGCACGGTATAACATTGAAAAACCGAAACATCTTTCTTTCCTTGCTAAATATGGCGACACGAAAGTAACTTGTTTTTTTTTCTTTATTTGACAGGGTTGCCAATACACTCTGGCGCCAAATTTGAAACCAACATTTATTTATTTATTATACATATTTTACGTATTTTTTTATAATTGATGGCATTTGAATTTACTTTTCATAAATAATTTCTTTTAAATTTTTAATTATTTTGAGAAAATTTTTTGGTGATGACTGAATTTAGAATTTAGCTTGAAATAAAATATAAATTATTAAAAAAAACATAAAATAATTTTTTTTTTAATTGAAAGGCCGAAGCATCTTTCCTTGCTTAACATGGCAATGCGAGGGTAGCTTGATCTTTTTTCTTAATTAAGACAAGGTGGCTATCACTTTCTGGCGCCAAAAAATCAATTTACTTTTCATAAAAAATAAATATGTTTAACTACTAGGTTATGCAGAAACAGATTTTAAAGAATTTTTAGTAACATTTTGGAAATTTGACGTACAACTCCTCACTATTGTTAAATTGTTGTTAATCAGAAGCGTACTCTATTGATATTCTTTAAAAATCGGAGTCAGAATTGCCAATTGTGGATCGCTTTGTATTTACTTACTTGGTGATGACCTTAATACACATTTATCTTTACATAAATTATTATTATACAAATTAGATAATTAGAACATTAATATAGCGAGTGAGTAAAATGTATGGAACCAAGCGTTTTTTGCATAAACTAATTACTTTACGAAAAAAATAATTAGTGCAGTGTAAACTATAAAAACATGATCGGCTTTCAAGAATAGTAGAACAGCTGGTCTGTTTTTTGTGTAGGTACTTATTGGTGGTGTCGGACGGATTATTATTTTGTGGCACTAGAGAAAACAATGTGTATTTTTTATTCATGAATAGAAATTTGTGGTTACCTAATTAATAAAAATTTTATGAATAATTAATAATTACATTTGATTTTTTTATACAGGCTGATTTTTAAAAAGTATAGAATTTTCCATGGTATAGTATATTTTGGACTACATACACTGTGCCAATTTTAAAACTTGCAATGGGCAATATCGATCATCTGAAAAAGTTATTGAGAATCACTCAGAACCGTTTTGGTAGTTCCTAGGGGGAACCTAAATGGCATGGTAAGTGACGCACCTCCACCCACCCTTGGATATAATGAAAAAAATGAAAATTTAAAGTCTTTGTCTTGTAATAATTGGACTTTTAACTTTTTCAGTTCTAGAGATATCGCCGATTGCAAGTTTTAAAATTGACACCTTGTATATTCAACTTTCTACTTTTAAATAAGGACCCAATATTTTTTTTCTAATTTAGAAAATTTTATTTTTCTTGGTACAGACGTACAGGGTGACCCAGGAGTGCGTGCAAGCTCATTAACTTTTTTTCTGTGCAAGCTTTCGACTTGATTGTTTTTCTAAACGATAAGTCTGACAATAAGGCACATTTTAAAAATATTTCATATGGATGTGTCCCAAAATAAGATACACAACTAAGTTCTGTTTTTTAAATAAAAACCCCCCATTTTTGTTACATTTTTGGATTCGCCACTAAGTTGTGGATATAACGCATTCGGTTTATTAGACTTATCTACAATAGTTTTAGACTTATGTCAATTTATGTGTCAAAATAGCGTCAGGCATAGACCCACAGAAAAATTGATAACTTCAGAACTATTCAAGATAACTTAACAATTTTTTCAGTCGATTCCATAAGCTTCAGTCGTGGACATCTTTTGAGATACAGTCGAACTCGGAGTCGATGTTCCATCGTCTACTACGATTTTTAAAACATGACAAATTATAATAACTCATTTTTTTTCAAATGCAACACCCCATATTTTACTGCATCATTGCATTTTGTTTTTATGGGCTTGTTGGCGAAATATGGTTTGTGGGGCTATTAGACGTGACGTCACAGACGCGACTGTACTGCAGCTAAACATACAGTGTTGCCAGTTGTGATACTAGAGTACCAAATTGATACTAGATTTTTTTTACTAGATATTTATATTTACTTGTAAACAAATAATAATTTATATTCTCAGCCAAATACACATTATGTGAATGTTAATATTTTTTATTTTGTTTTGGTACGACCTATCCACTCCTGTCGTTTGCAACATTCTGGCAATGCTGTAAACATATTTTGAAAGTACACAGAAAGTGAGGTTAGAACAGATTAAATTACAGAAATGTTGACTACAATTGTTAAGACCATTACGAAACGACACACATTTTTCATAGCAACTATTTCCTTAGAAACAATCTCCCTTCACGTCCAGGATTCAAGAAATAAACTTTTATTTGTTTAGCTTCAAAGGTACAGTCACGTACCTTGCTGACGTCACACTAATAGCGCGTATTGTCCACTCAATCTCAAACCAAATGGCGCTGATGCGTCTCACTCGCCATTTCTTTGTTCATTACTTTACTAAAATAGCTATTAGTACATATCACTATTACTGTTTGTGACAAAAAAAACTTTTGACAACACTGAATACGTGGTGACGTCACGCAGCCATTTTTGTTGGATCAGCGTGTATCCAAACAAACCTTCTTCGCCATTTTTAGATTCAGTGGTTTCAGGATTTTTTTGACTTAATTTGTTAAGTGTAAGTTTAAAAACAATATATTAGCGTTTTAAGTGTGTGTGTGAATAGGACCTAGATTATTGTAATATTTTTTGTGCGAATTTCGGTAAGTTTTTAGATCTAAACATGCTCTTGTTTTCTAACCTCACTTTTTACACACCGATTTTAGACTTTAATTTATGAATTAATATTCATAATGGGAATGTGCTGGGTTGCGAATTGCAAACACTACAATGTGCGTGATACATGTAGATTTTTCCGATTTCCAAAAGCTCAAAATGAAAGGACTAGATGGATTCATTTGTTAAGGTAAAATTATGTTATTCTTTTAGGAATGTGCATTTTTGTTGTATTGTTTTTTTCAGGAGAGACGTTGAGCCAGGCCCAGGCGCTTTTGTATGCAGCTGCCACTTTCGGGGTGGTAAGAAAGAGAATGGTCCAGAAATATTTTTGCATAACATCGAAAAAAGAATGGACTTTCCATCCTTAGCAGGAGAAACAGGAAAACGCAGACAACTTTCAGCAGTGTCTGCATCTTCAGTTGCAATGTCAAGGTTTGTTCTATTCCACCACTTTTTAGAAGCCATTTATTAAAATTTATTTCTTTATAGTAATGAACTACAGCAGCCTGCAATGGATGAGGCAGAAGTTGCGGGCCTAACGACATCGATGGAAACTACTGACATTCAACCAGGATCATCCACTTCAACTACATCAAAATTATCTACTTTTACTGCAGGTCTAGACGCAAGGATATACTTTTTGGAAAAAGAAGTGGAAGAACCAAAGAAATTAAAGAAAATTAAGTATGTATATGGAAGTAAGATTTACCAATAAAGATGTTCATATATTTTTAACGATAAACTTATACAAGGTGATTCACGAGGAATAATGAGCCTGACCAAATTCTCGATGCAACCACCATTACTTTTCGCAAGTTATTTTGCGACAACTGTAATGTTGGTTGCATCGAGAATTTGATCAGGCTCATTATTCCTCGTGAATCACCCTGTAGTTCTATATACGGGTTTTAAATCTTTATTTAATTTAATTAAAGATATTAGAATTAATTTTTATTTAGGCTGAACAGTCGCAAGTTTCATAAGACCAGTCTTGTAGCCACAACTTCAAGTTTGAAAAATGAGTGGCGTAGCCACGAGTTATTTCAAAGAATGAGTGCTTCAAGTTGTTTTCTTAAAAGTAAACAACTTTTCGGTTGGAAAACAGCTAAATTTTTTTGATGGAGTCCTGTTTTTAAGGTACCAAATATCCTGGTTCAGAAGTAACATTTTACATAGGTACTATTCGTTTTAAAGATTTTTTACTTTCATCGATTTAGGTATTATTGTGACGATTGGTAATGTCAATTTTAAAAGTCAAAATTTGATCTAGTCGCCTTTTGATTATTAAGACACCGCACATGAAGACGTCGCTTTAGTATGTACACTGTACAGTGGCGGACACGGAATTTTGGACATCAAATTTATGTCAGTTCAAAAAATGTCATTGTAAGCCACGCTTTATTGTCATTATGATTGACGTTTGAAACGAAAATTTAAAAGTTTTAGTTCAAATTTATTTTTGGCGTCGATTTTCCGATACAATAATGCAAACAATACGTGTTTTTATAATATAATTTCAATAAATTATTTTGATTTGTGATCATTTTTTCTCTAGCTATAAGGATAAAAATTACAAAAAACGAAAGTGAGGTTAGTTGCCTAAGGCCCGTTTTACATTTTTATGTCAGTCGAATGACAAATCGTCCAAATTTCCGTGTGCTCCAGTGTATGTCTATTAGAAAATTAATATGGAGGCAAATTACAAAAATATTATTTTAACATGTTTTATAATTATGAGATCTTGTAATGGAATGATTTAACAAAAATGGCGGCGTGACGTCACACCAGTAGCTCATATTGGCTACACTGAATAACTATAGCCCTAGCGGATAAAATCCAAACTATAATTGTGACGTCACTATCGGGATGACAAACAAAAAAAATGGCGGCGTGACGTCACACCAGTAGCTCGTATTGACAAGACTAAGGCACTATATGCTGTCATAAACAGAGGTACTGCCATCATATGTTTTTGACACTGACAGCGGCTTTTTGACCTTGAAAAAAATCATGTCAATTTCACAAATTTATATCGCAAAATTTAAAAAAACTCACTAAAACTTGTATTGCGCACTGCAACTCAAAGATAAAACTCTTTAATTTGCCTCAATTTAGATGAAATAATATTATAAACATGGAAAATAGTTCAAACATTTCAATGCATAGAAACTCAAAACTCTTTAAGGTATGTGGCTAAAAAGATTAAAGAAGACAGATAGATTCAAAGATATAGGAGAGTATACGAATATGCTCTTATGTATTAGTATTACATAGTTTACCTTTTTCATTCGTAACTCCTTTCCTTCAGAAACATTTTTGCAGTATTTATAAAAAAAAAAAAACAGAATTATGTGTATTTACATCTTAGCGCAACACCGCATCTAAATTCAGAAAACCTTTGCCCAAAAATTCTTGAAAGTTATTTACAAGCCACCACGCACAGGCTTTGTGAACTGGGCCATACTCATCTTTATCTACATTACCATTACTACACTTTGCCACTTTTGCCTATATTTGACCAACCTGTGAGACGTTTCTGAACTATTTCTTTGTTGTTTCGATGTATAAAAGTATGTAATATGAATTGTTCAACCCAGGTTTTTTATTTATAAAATGTTTCCGGAGAGTTCCCGCCGAAATTGGCACTTATGACATTTAATGTTGACGTAATTTTTCAAGGTCAAAAAGCCGCTGTCAGTGTCAAAAACATATGATGGCAGTACCTCTGTCTATGACAGCATTTAGTACCTTAGGCAAGACTAAATTACTATAGCCCTAGCGGATAAAATCCAAACTATAATTGTGACGTCACTATCGGGATGCCTTTGACATTTTAATCGTTAAACGTGTGTTTTCTCTTCTATTTTGGCTATACATATAAACGCGAAAATGTCTAGAAGCAATGAAAATTGTTGTGTGCCCAACTGCCGGTCGGTCAGAAAAGAGAATCCGAATATAATGTACCATCAATTTCCTAAACCCGAACAAAAAATAAAGTTTATAAATGATCGTGGAATAGAAGAAGAGTGTAATCGTCGAAATTTATGGATATCAAAACTACGAATAGGGAAGCCAGTGTCCACGTCAATGAAAGTTTGCTCTTTACATTTCACAGAAGACGATTATGAAAAATCAGGTTGAGAATTTTTTCCTTCAAAGTTTATTCCAATAATAACTTTTTGTATATTTCAGGTTGGGCAACGATAAAACATTTAAAACGGTCGTCTGTTCCGTCGCAGTGTTTACCGTTTTCAAGTCATTCTCGTTCTGAAAATAATCAAAAATTGAAAAGGATAAAAACCGTTATTTCTTGTCAAGTGAACCAAAATAATGAAGATGTGGCATTTGAGGGACTGTTAATGTTAGCGTCAAACCCTATTTCATCTCCACTATTAGAAGGAAGGTTCACACATGTGACTGCTTGTAAAAATAAAAAGGAAGAACAAACTGACACAAGTGAACTCCGATCGGTAAGAGATTTTGGAGTACAAATTAACCCCCAAAAAAACTTCAATCCACAAAATATAATTTACTTAACGGTAATTAGTCAACAAAAGTGGACCCTAAAGACACCAAAATGAAAATGTAAAGATAACGTTATTATTACCTAATAAGGTAAATTGTCATATTTGTGAGTGCTTGTGACGGTAGACGTGTGTGTATGGTAAGTTGAAATTTCACTGGAAAATTTACGTACATTTATGGTTTGGTTTATTATAATAAAAAAATAATAAAATTAACTTTTCAGGTTGGAGTAGGAGAAAATGTTTAACATCAACCGCCATTCCTTCAAAATAGAAGAAAAGAACGAAGAGACTATATGTAATAAAAGATAAATACTAAATTTAGGCGGTAACTTGCCTATTTTTGAAGTTTCAGTAGTATTCAGACTGAAGAATTTAAAAAGAGATTAGTGAATATGGAGGAAATGATTACATCTACTGGTTTTGTTGACTGAATCACAATTAAATACTTTTGGTTATTAATGATATTTCTGTTTTTTTTTTTATGAAATTAAAGCTTGCTTTACCCTATGTAATGGTTTTAATTTTATTTGCCGTTTCTTCACAAACTTTTTTTAAATTTGATGAAATAAAAGATATTAGGATTAGTTTTTCTTTTCAACTAAAACCTTCATGTTTCTTGTGACCTACAGTCGCGGTTCCTATAGTTTTTACACAAAGTACATGTTAATAGATGTTATCTAATTATATTTAGTTTTAATTGGGTACTTATTTTTTTTATTTTTCCAATAGGAAGCACCAGAAGTTATGTATGAAATGCATTGTGAACAAGAAAAAAGGTCATCAGCTGAAACACCTGAAATAACAACACCAGAATTAGCAATGGACAGGACTATTAAAACAGAAGTGGAGTCTGATTATGAGACAGATGGTTGTATAAAAACTGAATCATTCTTTGAAGCGGAAGATGATCCTTTAATTGAAGTAAAAACTGAAATATTAGGTAGGTATGTAGGAGTTTTGACATTCTAAAGACAATTTAAATGTTTCAGATATAAAAACAGAATTGGAATCGTCACAGCCACGTTTTATTTCGAGGGCAACTTCCGTTTCGCCAGATCATATGCATGGAAGTAGGAATTTAATCAATGAACAGATTAATAAACATAAAAATAGGATTAAAGTTCTTGAGCAGATCCGACTACGCCAATCCAAGAAGATCAAAGAGCTAGAAAATTTATTGCAATATTATACAAATAAATAAATATGAAAAAGAACATTTGGTGTTGAGAGGAAAGACTGTCTAAATTTTAGACCAGTACCAAGTAACGAGCCTTTTGGCCTTTGTCTGCCACATCAAGATGTTTAGCAGTTGTTATATTTTTAAATACATACATTATTTTATTCATTATTTTTATTTATATTGTATGTAATCATTGACATTTTCCTATAGACTGCGTTGGAGGGTGTTATGCAATGAAGTAAAGTTTGCACTGTGACTATTTATTTCTGTTAGAAAAATAATTTTCCAAGTTTTTTTTGCTATAGGCTATTAAAAGAGGAAACAAGGAAGCTGTATCCTAAATTGTAACTCTGTTCAATCTTATTTGTGGCTTTTATTGGCAAAATTTTTGTCCCTTTACTAAATAATTGTAAAAAACCATATACAAGATCATCAGTATCCTTAAATAGATATAAAAAAATGACAAATGTCAAAAAATAAATGTCAAACTTTTTTGACAGATAGAATGTTTTTAACATTTTTTTCATGTACCTACTTATACCGTACGATCAAAAAAAATAAATTAAAGTAGGCGATGATTGAAGTCCTTCAGATGACAATCCTGATTTTTGACATCAAATGTCAGCGGAAACTTTGACAAGTTTGCGTTTTAGTCCTTTGGAGTGAAATAATGTTCACTTTAGAGTGGAAAATTTTTCTTGCTGTACCTACAAGAGGAAAACGGTGGATGATCATTTTCACTTTCAGTTTGTGTGAAAAATTTCCAGCCCAGATTTTTTTTAAGTATCTAGCAAACTATCTATCAAAATAACAAAAAAGTGGCTAGGTCGTACCAAGACAAAATAAAAAGTATCAACATTCACATAATGTGTATTTGGCTGAGAATATAAATTATTATTTGTTTACAAGTAAATATAAATATCTAGTAACAAAAGAACTATTATCAATTTGGTACTATAGTATCACAACTGGCAACACTGTATGTTTAGCTTCGGTACAGTGCGTTTGTGACGTCACGTCTAATAGCGCGTATACCAAATACAATGGAAATTGGTAACAGTGTGAGAATTTTCGCTAAGCCTACGTCCTCTGGCGGTCTAACGTAAAACTTTAGTCACGTGATTAACAAGTAGGACTCTAACTGAGGACTTTATTTGCAGGTTAGTGTTTAGCGGTGCTTTCTTATTGTGTTTTTGTGACAAATAAAATCAGCTGAAATTGTTGTGTTTAAGTCCTTTGTGTGAAGTGTCGTCTGCGTTGATTGACAATAATAAAGTCTGGGCAATAGGCCAAAATCGTGAACTTGTGAAAATCGTAAATTCCGGTAGATGACGCGCGCATCACGCTCCAAAAGAAACTGTAATTTGTGAAATTTGAAAATCTGCAGGAAATTAAATGTTACAATTGTTGCACCGTTGTCTGCGTTGATTGACAGTATTTGCTTATAAAATTTTATAATTTTTGATGTTTTTGGTGTAGTTTACAATCAACAAAATCAAAAAATCAAAAGTAAACAATTACGCATTTATTATTATACAACCCATAAAACACAAAAGTAAATTTTTGTATACAAAAATTTATCAAGGTTTCAAACCAAAATATACATATTCCATTGGTGCGCGGACTCGTCGCTCCCCCAACGGAGATTTTTTTGGCATTGCCCAGACTTAATACTGTCAATCAACGCAGACGACGGTTGACACATTTAATAAAATATTGATCTGTCACACAACTAATACATTTTTTCAGGTTAAGAAGCGCAGTATCAATATCTTTCAGACGTTCCATTATAATTTTTATAATGCCAAGTATCAGAACTTGCTGTGTTCCAAACTGTGGGCAAGCGGAGAAAGAGGGTGTTATTTTACATCAATTTCCAAAAAGTAGAGATAAAAAAAACGAATGGCTCAAGAGAATATTCGGTACCATCGGCAATATACCCCCAAATTCCGTGATTTGTGGAAAACACTTTGAAATAACGAGCTACTATAAAACCAAAAAATTGTTACCAAATGCAGTTCCATCCTTGCTCTTGAATTATAAAAGAATTACTCGTTTTCAGGTAATTTATACCACTTCCATTAATTCAGAACGTAAGCCGTTAGAAGCGCCTGCACCGTGTCTCCAATCTCCAGTCATTTGACAAAAATTATATAATTTCAAATCCATTTCGATTTAATTTTGATCAACAAAGCGATTTAAAAATAGGTGATACTCATGATTTTGATTTAAAAAATGTTTCAGATGCAACACTTAATAAAAATATTTTTGAGTGCTTTATTATCCGTCCTACAATTAACACTTTTTTTCACTTTTATGTTGTACAATTTATTGTTACAATGCTGTTTCCTTTTCATCTAAAACCTTAATGATCCTTGCGGACTATTCTAGATTATCCCTCGACGATTTCGGAAAAAATGTTTATACCGCAGTTAGTTTTAATTATTTTTTTTCAGCAGGAAGGAGCAGAAGTGCAGTCTGTAGTACATTGTAAAAGAGAAAAAAGGACTTTATTGGGTGAAACACCTGAAATAACAACACAACAAGAATTAGCAATGGAGAGGACTATTAAAACAGAAGTGGAGTCTGATTATGAGGTAAATGATTGTATAAAAACTGAATCATTCTTTGAAGCGGAAGATGTTCCTTTAATTGAAGTAAAAACTGAAATATCAGGTAGGTATGTAGGAGTTTTGACATTCTAAAGACAACAATTTAAATGTTTCAGATATAAAAACAGAATTGGAATCGTCACAGCCACGTTTTATTTTGAGGGCAACTTCCGTTTCACCAGAACATATGCATGGAAGTAGGAATTTAGTCAATGAAGAGATTGATAATTGTAAAAAAAGAATTCATGTTCTTGAGCAGATACAACTACGCCAATCCAAGAAAATCACACAGTTAGAAAATTTATTGCGACATTATACAAATAAATAAATAAATAAATAAATATGAAAATATGTTGTGAAGACTTTAATTTTTGTCTTTGTTATATTTGAGTTTAACTGTCTTAGTTTTAACAACACAGAAGTCTCTATCTTATTTTTTTTTTTAGGTTTTTGTGCAAGGAAATTGTTCCTCAAAGGAAATACTCTTGCAAGTATCCAGGCTGCAACAACGGGTACTACACCCACATACCTGAGGGGTTTGTGAACAAACGTTTTTTTAATTTTCCCAAAAACCCTACGCAGCATCAATTATGGAGAAATATCTGCAAAATAAATGTCGAAAATTCAAAATTTTTTAAAATTTGTGGGGACCACTTTGACAGGCCGGCCCTTGGTAATGATAGAAGAGACCGTTTAATTTATAGAGCAGTTCCACGAATTCCCAACGCACCTTCCGGCGTTTGTCTGCCAGATCAAGATTTTTAAGTATTTGTTATATCTATTTTTAAATACATTATTTTACTTACTATTTTTATTTGTATTTTTAACTCAGTGAATCTGCACTGTTTCAGGTTGCAGTATTGGAAATTATTAACAAAAATACTTTCAAATTTGTTACCAACAGAGACAGTCTTTCTGGATCATTTCGTACTTTATATTACTGAGGTAGGTGGTAATGCAATAAAAATTGCTGGTTGCATTTTTGTGGATCAAATGGCGGCGCCCCTAAAGCATGCAGTTTACATGCGTATGTGAGGAATTTCGTGATTACAATCTCTTATTGTAACATACTATTGAATGTTTAACTGTTTACTTGTTCTTTTTTTATTTCTGTTTACCGTTAACTTGTTTTTATTTAAAAATAAAATTCAGTGTTGCCAACGAAACTGCAAACTTGATCACCTCTTTAGTAGTTCTAACTGTTTGTGTTTGTGCAAAATATGGATGAAATATTAGATGTGGCCGCTTTTGGTGGTATAAATTGCAAAGAACTGGAAGATGGCATTCTGCACCACATTTTCATAAAACGTCGATGTTATTATGTAAGAGAGATAAGAAATGTAACAATTCCATAACCTCAAAAATCAGTATTTACACAGTGGGACATTAGAACTAATTTTTAGCAATTTTGTTTCTTATAGATTTATAATCTATCCATCAAACTAACGAAGTTATTTAACAAATAACACAGTGTTCACAAAAAATGCAATTTTTTCATAAAATTAAGTGATGACGTCACGGTAGCCATGTTGATTGAATCACGTTCCAAATAAACAATTTGGAACGCTTGTTTTTTGACTTAACACTACTTGAAAGTTGCTTTATTTTATAAATTCTCATTAAGTAAGTTTATATGTAAAATAGTTTCAAGAAATTTTGCTAAAATCATGCTTGTTTATTCTTTAACAAGGGTTTGAAGATAATTAAGGATAGGTTTATTGTTTACTTCTATATTACATGACATGTATGTAATATATGTGTAATATTCGTACTATTACTTCTTACTTAAGCATTTTTTCTTTGTTTATATTTTGTAATTTTGTTTTCTCCTGTAATTGGCTTTCTGTCCATTAGAACTATAGTTATTATTATTATAATGGTTATGTGTTTTGTACACACATGTAAACACTATAGTGAACGACATCAATGTAAATATTTTGTGTTTCCTAAAGATCCTAAGGAATTAAGAAAATGGCTTAAGTTAATCAGGTATAGATATAGCACTTTTATGTTCCAATTCTACACTTTAACTGTTTATGTACTATTTTAGACGCAAAGATCGGAAGCCTAGTAAACATTCTCGAATTTGTCAATGCCATTTTCTCAATGGTGACCGAAAAAATGGCCCAACTATTTTTAACCATAATATGTGGAACCAATTCAAAAAGGATAGTAAACGGTGAGCATATAATTGCAATTTTATATCCGTACTATTTTATTATTATTACAAGGCAAAAAATTAGAGACATTGATCAACCAAGCCCATTAATGATAAAGCAGCGAGGTGATTCCCCGGAGTTATCATCTGATGAGGTAACTAAGAAATACAAAGCAAGATTCAACACCGACGAATTTTTGTAAAATTTAAATTATTTTATCGTGAAACTGAATATCTCAAACAAACTGGCGCTGATACGTCTCACTCGCCACTCCTTTGTCCATTACACTTTACTGAAATAGTTATTAACACTTTTTTTTTACAAAAAATATTTGTTAGATGTTATCTAATAAGTAGTTTTAATTTACCTATTTAATTTTTTTTCAACAGGAGGCAGCAGAAGTGATGCCTGAAGTGCCCTGTAAAAGAGAAAAAAGGTCTTCATCAACTGAAACATCTTCAACATCCGAAATGATAACACAACAGTTAGCAATTAAAACAGAAGTGGTGTCTGATAATGAGATAGATAGTTGCACAAAAATTGAACAATTTTTTGATGAAGTGGAAGATAATACTTTAATTGAAGTAAAAACCGAAATATCAGGTTTGCGGTTTCCAGATACGTCTTTTAAGCTATCTCACAACCTGAAATGTTTTAGATGTAGAATTAGAGTCACGTTTTATTTCGAGGGCAACTTCCGTTTCGCCAGATCACATGCATGAAAGTGAAGAGATCATTAAATGTAGAAAAAAGATTGAAGATCTTGAGCAGATACGACAACGCCAATCCAAGAAGATCAGAGAGTTAGAAAATTTATTGCGATATTACACAAGTAAATAATAAATGAAAATAAACAACACGAATTAAATTATTTTGTTGTAAATAAAGACATTTTAAATGGAATTTTATTTCTGCTCTCTGGAAATGTTATTATAGTTGAGCTTAACTTACATTACAGTCTCTGTCTTTTAGGTTTTTGTACATGGTTGTTCTTCGAAAGAAGTAGTGCTGAAAGTATCCAAAGACCCTACACAGTATCAGCCATGGAGAAATACCTGCAAAATAACATCAAAAAATTATTTTTTTTTACAATTTGTGAGAACGAAAAAATCAAAGCCCAGCAATTGTTACAAAGTAACAAGAAATCCGATTTTTTGTGATGTTGGTGGCGTTAATAATTAGCATCAAAACAATAATAGTCATTATATGAAATTTTGTTCTCGCACAAATTGTCGTATTTTTGTACAAACCTTCTTAAATCATCTTTGGGCGCCATTTGTAATAAATATAAACCTATTACAACCTAAACACGTTACGATATTTCGAGCCTTATACTGTATTGTGCATATTTTTGGAAATATACAGAAACATTTTTGTAACTGAACGTAGCTCTATGTTTAGTTTAAAAAAAAGCACAAATAATGCATTGGTGTCATTCAATGATAAAAATTGCTTAATTTAAATGAAGATGACGGCGAGACAAACAGAAAAATTACAGGCAGATAAGACATTAAACGCTTCACATTAAAAAATGAAGTTATGCAAAAAATTTTGCCAAAAACCATAATTAAAAAAACAAATTTTTGCTTCATCTCATGTTTTTGACTTTTTGAAAATGCTGCACAAAAGAAAAAAAAGTGTAAAGAACAAGGTTGTACAGAATATTACCTAAATAGTTTGATAAATTGAACAGACGAACTACGACAGTTATAGGAGCTATTCATTTAAATTTTGTTAGTTATATTTTCAACACAGTAATACTTATAGTAAAAAACAAGATAGAAAGTCATTCCCGCGGCAATTTTTAAGTAGAAAATTCCCACTATAATTGTGTCTTGATTGCCCAAAAGTGACAAATGACTGAAATTAAGGTTCTTCTTGTTTTTTGGAAACTCCCAAAAATATTAGCTGTTATTCTATTCAGTTTATTAGAAATTAAGGTCTTCAAATTTGGCGCAACCCAATATTTTCTATTTTTTTTTGTAACCCTACTTTTAGTAAGTATTTTCATTTCAATTATATTTATTACGAGTAAAGTAATATAGTTGGAATACTGGTAGCTTTATTTTAAATAAATGAGGTACTTATTTGGGGTATCTAGGTAATTTTCATAATTACATCATTGAATGCAACCTTATGCAATTTGCTGTCAACATATTTTATTCTGATTTACAATCATTACAACAAATATTGGGATTATGTTAGGTCATGCTTATAATATTTGGTTTCAGTTTTAAAAATAATAAAAGAAACACCAGTTAAGAATTAAACTTTAATTTTGTGATAAACACTAAACAAATATAAATAATGCAATTCATCATAATGATTGTTACAAGTTGTTACTCACAGTCTATAGTACTTATTTATTATCCAAACTTTAGCGAAATATTTGCTTTAGTCATGCTACTGATAAAAGCACTTAAGCTGCTATAAATAGTACATATGTTTTTTAATAGATATAAGACGACAACAACATAACAAAAAAGTAGTTTGGTACATTCCATCACCAATATTTCTCCAGAGACTTGACCAAATCTTTGGGATTTGTGCTGGGTCCATGCCTTTCAACCGGTTGTCCATTCTTGTCGATGATAAACTTAGTGAAATTCCACTTGATGAAATTTCCCAAAGTTCCCCCTTGCTTATGCTTCAAGTAGACCCACAACGGGTGTGCATCTTTGCCGTTAACATTAACCTTCTCAAAAACATCAAATTTGACATTTTTGCTTGAAACAAACTGGCAAATTTCTTCACTGCTCCCCGGTTCTTCTCCGGCAAATTGGTTGCAAGGGAAGGCCAGAATACTCAATCCTTTGGATTCACCATAATCGTCGAATAATTCGACCAACTCGGCGTAGTTGTTCTTGGTGTAACCACACTGCGAGGCCACGTTTACGACGATGCAAACGTGCCCTTTGTACTTCTCCAAAGACACGTTTTCGCCCTTAAGGTCTTTGGCACTGAACTCGTAAATTGACTTGGCTTCTTGTGGATTTTCTGGATTAGACATTTTGGTCGACTGTTTTGAACCACTTGTGAAACAACTCTGACTCAGGGTTAGAGAAATCGAACAATATACTGGATAATATGGCGTAGTTGCGCGTAGTTGTTTTCTGTGATAAGTGAGTCATTATGGGAAACTTAGGCAACACAAATTGTACCAAAAAACACAATTTTTTTATTATTAAGTAGTTACAGAAAATATAATAATAAACTACCACAGCTTCTGAAGAGATTCTAGAAGAGTGAGAGGTTTAACACTAGAAGCATGTCTTTCTACAGGAACCCCTTCATCATTGACAATAAACTTGGTGAAATTCCACTTGATGTCTTTTCCTTTAGGACTGGGGATTTTTTCCTTCAAAAATTTCCACAATGGATGAGCATCCTTGCCATTAACCTTAATTTTTTCAAACATGTCAAACTTAACATTTCGGGATTTAGCAAATTCGGAGATTTTTTCAGAGTCGCCAGGTTCCTGTCCCCCAAACTGATTACAAGGAAACGCCAAAATTCGCACTCCTTTCTCTTCTGAATACTTGTCATACAGTTCAACAAACTGTTCATAATTTGATTTTGTATGTCCACATTTTGATGCAACATTTACTATAATGCAAACGTGTCCTTTGTACTTTTCTAATGAAATTTCTTCGCCTTCAAGGGTCTTGGCGGTAAAATCGTAAATAGTCGTCGCAGGTGGGGCTTCAGAACTTTCCGCTGTTGTGTGGTTTGCGTCTGAAGCGTCTAGGCTGGGTTGAATTCTTTTTGTTGCTTTGGTCTTTTTACGTGGCATCTTTATGAAAATATAATAACAACGATGAAAAAAAGTTAAATTAGTTGTTTTTCCAATTTAAATTGCACTTACTGCTGAATATTAAATTCTCGCCGGCTTTTTATTAAATTAAGGTTATGTTTTTAGTTGTTGTAATGCTGCCAACCTTGAATATGAAATTACAGTTATTTGCGCGCTAATTTCAAAATGTGGTTAAATTAAGTTTTTAAAGTATATATTTAATTAAATAAATGAAAAATTTGTTGTATTTGTGAGATAAATAATTGACGACCATGAAATTGGCCTTTATGCATACACCGGGACTGTTAGTGATTGTAATTTTTATCTTTTTATCCTCAAGTTGGTTTCAAATTTAAATCTTATAAATTAATGGTAGGTTTACAAGAAGTAAATTAAATCAAAATTAAGTTAATCGCGATTAACTTCAATATCGTGAAATCTGATTGGTTGTTCATCAAAATTAAACCAATCACGTAACGAATGAAATTTAATTGCAATTAAATATTTAATTCGCCGTTTATAAACCCACCCTAAATCTTATAGTTTGGCAGCTTTGACTCTTAAATTTAAACGTCAAACTTTTATTGGCAAATGACAAATGTCATTCATTTGCGACAGGTGAATAGATAGAAATCACTAAAAAAACTTTCAAGAATGTCATAGATATGATTCCCTTTAAAAAAATACAACTTTATTTGACTGCAGTTAAATTTAATTCAAAATCAGTGAATACACTAAAGTCGTACGCAAAAAGAAGTGCCTTGTAATGTCTTTAATTTTTTAAGATTTTTAGGTTTTTCCTAAAAAAAATTGTTTATGCATATTTAAATTAAAAACAAAAGGCGATAGCAGGACGCGGTTTTGATCAAAACTATTTTCTTTAAAAATCGAAAATGCACAGCTACATTAAAATAAACGGGAAATGAAAATTTTCCAAATGTAAATTTGGTTCTAGTTGTCAATTATCAGTTTGACAATACCTATAATAATAATGACAATAGGTACCAAATTATATAATAAACTAAATGAAGAAATCAAGAACTTAAATATAATTCAGTTTAAGAAAAAAGTAAAGATAATGTTGCTCAACAAAAGTTTCTATTCTGTGGAGGAATATATGGACTGTGACTTAAATTAAATATTGAAATTCATATTGTTATAGTTAGTGTTATAGGAAAATTAAGAATTTAGCGACAGAATGTAGAGTGGGAAAAAGTACTATCGGAAAGATTACTAAAAAGTGGGTAAATGAACCGTGAAACGCAATTCGAAAATGTAATTTGTTCAAATATAACCTATTTATTTTTTAACTGACATGCTGTCAAAATGTTTTAAGCTATTTTTAATAAAACACGTTCACACCATGAAAAAACTAAATTTTTTTGACATTTCCCATTTTTTTTTGAATGTAGCTATATCACAGATTTTGTTCGAGTAAATTGGACTACATGAAAATGTCATATATAAACGTTGTATTAATAGTACATTATAAGCGAGGTGGTAAATATGGCATTACCCCGAGTCCTTATGTACGGATAAAGCACAGGGGGTAATGCCATTACCACCCAAGGTTTGTATGTTATTTTTTTCACAATCACATTATTTTCAGTCAAAAATTTGGGTAAGTTAAATAAAATTCTAAGAAAGTTAAGGTCCAAACTGGTGAGCCATACAAATGGCGTTTGATTTTGACATTTCAGAAATGTCAAAGTAAATATTGAAATAATGTGTGAATCTGATTTAAAGTCGTCGAAATAGAGCAGTGTACACCTTCAGAAGTAAGAGACACTGCTATACAAAAGCAATTGAATACTAATTTAACAAAATATTATGCGTAACTTGACAATTTGAAAAGAAAAATTCCTGGTAATTTTGTAATTTGAAGGTTGGCTATCCTGCATATTACTGCCCATGAGAAGTAATATTATCACTCTTCATGAGATTTAATGACGTGTTTTCCAACCTTTAAAAGTTAGTAATCGGTATATTACATTAGTGATTGTGAATAAAATTTAATTTAATCAAGTTAGCATGTAAAAAAAATAAAAAAATAAATAACAATACTGAAAAAGGCATTTAAGTCAGCTTCTTCATTTCGAATGTTAAAAAACTCGTCAAAAGTAAACAGAGAGTCCTAAAAGACCATTTAATTTAGAGTAGGCGGTGATTAAAGTCCTTCAGATGGCAATCCTGATTTTTGACATCAAATATCAGCGGAAACTTTGACAAGTTTGTGTTTTATTCCTTTTGAGTGAAATAATGTTTACTTTATAGTAGAAACTTTTTATTGCTGAACAAGACGAATGTGTTGCCAACTGTAGAATTTAATCGACGCCTACTCTAATTTATAATTTTTTTGATCGCACGGTATTTCACATGTAATATTCTATTAAATAATGATAAAATTATAAAAGAGGAAATGCCCTTCAAGATAGATTGATAAATAACACGAAACGTCGATGAAAACACACCAATCAGGTGAAAACCAGTGAAATTTTATGTCTCTAACATTTTACATAGTGTTAAGTCTCCAATGGAAAGGAAATATCTAATCACACAATTTTATTTTTAGAGTACTTACAGTATTAGTCAGGGAAAAGTGTTCAAGGATTCTAAATATTTATTTGGAATATTTTTAAAAGTCGGAAAAGTTGTGTATTTTGGGTTGCCTGAATTAGCTTCGGCGCAAAGCCATGACATCGCATGATTGCGCAAATAAAATAATAACTGGAACTGGAAATGTTGATTCCCGGCTTCCAGTTGTTTAGCGTTGCAACGACAGTGTTACGGGTGTTTTCAACAGTACCTCCTGTGATAACATCAAAAACCACAATGTCTAATCCCGAGAAGCCTGAAGAAGCCAAATCCATCTACGAATTCAGCGCCAACGATATCAAAGGTGAAACCGTATCTTTAGAAAAGTACAAAGGGCACGTGTGCATCATCGTCAATGTTGCCTCCAATTGTGGTTACACCAAGAACAACTACGCCGAGCTTGTGGACCTTTTCAACGAGTTTGGAGAGTCCAAGGGTTTGAGGATTTTGGCATTTCCTTGCAATCAATTCGCCGGTCAGGAACCAGGGAGTAATGAAGAGATTTGCCAATTTGTTTCAAGTAAAAATGCCAAATTTGATGTTTTTGCAAAAATTAATGTCAATGGAAATGACGCGCATCCTTTGTGGAAGTATTTGAAGCATAAGCAAGGGGGAACATTGGGGGATTTCATCAAGTGGAATTTCACCAAGTTTATCATCGACAAGAATGGGCAGCCAGTTGAAAGACATGGACCCAGCACCAATCCCAAAGACTTGGTCAAGTCACTAGAAAAGTACTGGTGATTTGGAATTATTGCAGACTAATCTTATTGTTATTTATGCTCGTTATACATATTTACTCAAAATAAATCTTGATTTATATAAAAATATCTTCTAATAAAAAATCACATAATTTGTATAATAAGACAATGTAAGATTCAATAAGGTAATGACTGTATGAGAACAAATATTTCTTGTTTAGATACATATGCGTTTATATTGTTTACAAAATAAAGTGTTTACTACCTACACTGTCATTATATTTGATTAGCTCGTCCTTGTACAACTTATAAACCCTCTTTATGTGTGTATTTTTCTGTTTATTAGTCAGTTTGTCGTTGTGAATGCTTTTGTAGGTCAACAAAGGGTTATTTTAGATCTTATTCAACATTTTAAAACGCTAAAAATAATTACATAATATAGGGTGATTCACGAGGAATATGAGCCTGACCAAATTTTCGATGCAACCAACATTACAGTTGTCGCAAAATAACTTACGAAGAGTAATGGTGGTTGCATCGAGAATTTGGTCAGGCTCATTTGTATAATTGTGCAATTTTAGTTTCGAAAAGTTTTTTTATCTACTTTTATGAATTTATTACTTCTGCGTACCTTATTCAATAATTATATCGATCGGAAAACATTCTTATAAAATTTTAATCAAGTCTGCAACGTAATACACAAGTATGTCAATAAAAAACATACTACGCAACTTACATTACACGGATGCACACTTTCTGGACTATTTTCTCTTACGGACTTTTTTGTACGGTTTGCTAAAATTTATTTATTCACAACCACTAATGTAATTTGCTGATTAAGTGATTACTAACCTTTTAAAGGTTGGGAGACACATTATTACATCTTATGAGCCAGTAATATTATTTCATCTCTTGGGTGGTAACCAGGTTCGCTAAAATACCGGGAACTTTCTCTAACTTCTGGGGGAGTACACTGCTCCATTTCAACAATTTTAATATATTCACACATTATTTCAATATTCTTTGCAGAAGTAAGAAAAAATTTGTTCTAGCTGTCTTAATTTTTGTGTAATGAATTTTTAAAAAGGACATGTTTTTGTCAAAAAAACGTCTTATTTCTAAAACTAAGCGAAATTAACTAATAAAACTTTAGCGTAAAAACATTGTTTTAAAAGGCTTAATTCTAAAATGCAAAGAAACATACGATGTTTCATTGTATCGTAACTATTGTTTAGACATGCTGTATGGTTGAAAATAATTTTAGGTGATGCACTAATAGTATCTATCAATGTCCTATACAATTTTTTTTAAATTTTACCATTTAAAGGCCACTAATGGACTTCCTCAACTTACTGTAACACTCAGTACATCCGAAAAGTCTGTAATTCTTCTAACATCTCATTCGTACTGTAAGATTTAACTTACCAGAATTATAACGTAAATTACTTATTATACAACGTGTCTTAGAAATAAGTACATTAATTTTAACCAATGACAAATTTTTTAAGAATAATAAAATTAACACACTTTAGTTACCTACTTCTGCTGCCAACATAGACACAACTATCACACTAGAGGTAGCAGGATAAATGCTGCCAACTGTGCAATAAATTAAATGGCTATTAAGAATTGACCGTCACAAGATTAATGAACATTAACTTTGAAGTTTAGTGGATGTTTTTTAACAGAATTTGTGATCAATTTTACAATGTGGTTTTTCATAAATAAAACAAAAAGACGATATTAATTATTTGTTTCAATCGAATATAAAGAGCAACTTTATTTTGCGTGTGTTTTTGTTTAGTGGCTTTATCTGTGATTTTACAGATACGAGTAAATAACGATTGCGTTTGAGAAAAAATTGTACTTACATACAGGCTGGATAAAAAAAAGGCCTCAAGCCATAATTTCATTATTTGCAAATAATAAAAAACAATAAAATATTACGTCTTTGTTCAAAATTGAGTTTTTTGTTATCAGCCATTTGCTTGTCTTAGATAAAATGAATAAAAATGTTCTTTCTATTCTTTCTACAACCAACTTAATTTAAGTTCATTTTTAAATTGCCTTATAAATTTACAGGCTGTTCCATATTAAAAAAAAACGAAATTGAAGGCATTTCCGGTGAAACAGGAAGTAGCATTAATTGAGCATCTATTTCAAACAAGAGATAACAATAAACTGTACAACTGTGTTTTAATTTTTTTATAATCCGGTCTGTATAAAAAATGTTGTATTTGATGTGGTTAAAATTAATCTATTATTTATTTCTGGGACAACCCGTATATTATTTGATAAAAGTAATTTTGAATGTATTCTTCTTACAGTCGAAACTTGGCACTTTGCTTTTTGATACCCTCTCAACAGTTTCAGCCGTTTAAAAAACACAATAATAAATAACATATTTTTAAAATATTGCGAAGAACGCTTAGAACATATTTTTTACGGATAAAAAAATTACCACTTTTAAAAACCAATTCTTTGTATTGTATTCGCCTCAACATGCAACTGAACTAAAATGTTTGAAATTGTTTTCACCATTTTGTAGAAAAAATGTTGTTTATATGTATTAGGTAGATATGTGTGCAAAATTGTACTTTAACGCTCGAATGCATAACTATTTTAGAGAAAAAAATTAAATTTATGATTTAAATGAAACTAAAATTTAGCATTTATATAATTATAGTAGAACTCCGCTATAACGAGAATTTAAGAAATCAAAAGTTCTATTCGGATAGGAGTTCAAAAGTTTGTGTATTTTTGGAATAATAATTAAAAATTATCATTATCAATGGTGGTTATGAATTAAAAAAAAATCGTGTTATGTATTTACGTTAATCAATTTTTGATCGTCAAAATTTACTAATCATTGTTTATGTTTGGGTAATGTTTGAGTACTTTCCATAATAACATGCTTATGATACATTTATGTATTTTGTTTAAGTAAAGTTATATTGGAAACCTAATGAGGTCAAAACTAAGCATTACTTTTTGTCAATCAATACACATAATCCCGCTTAGATGCTAGCAAAATTATCCATGTAAAGGTAAAATATTGCAAATAACGTTGTAACAATAAAGATGGTCTAGATAAAACTAAATAAAATAGAATATGGTGATTAGAAATTTTTATTGTTCTTTGTTTGATACACATGAAAATTAATAATAATTTTGATACTCCTGTTAAATGATTTACTGATAACCTGATTACATTGATACTGATAAATTAAGAAATTGATGTGTTTCACGTTTTTTATATAAATCGTATTTCGAAACTTGTCGTATAGGTAAAATGCTATTTTTAAACATTGTCTGTATTGCTGTCACTATAACAACGAACAACTCCAGCATAATCATTATTGACTGTTATTATTTAGTGTACGGGGTGTTCTTAAAAACTTTCTCATATAATACAGTTTTATTACCCTGATTATTGTAAAGGTACACAATATTAATTCTTTAACTAAGCTTTTTTAGATTTTTTTTTATGAATTTAAACCATTTGTTTGTGTTTTGAAAAAGTTTGTGAATTTTTAACAGTTGTGGGAATGCATGGGAAAGTCTAAATTGATGATTCCAAGAAAAGTTTGTTAAAAAAAATTTATTCAAAAAACAGTGTTTAAAAGTTAAACACATTAGAAATTAATAAATAACTAGATACTCAGGGGTAAAATTTATATTTACAACAAAAGTATGTAATATTAACTTTTGTACATTCATTACACATTATGTTTAGCCTGTGAACGTTTTCGTAAAATAACTATTCCAAGACTACCAACCAATATGGCTGAAATTACTATAAGAGCGTATCTAACACCATCGACTAATTGGACCTTGTCAAAGTAACTTGAATTTAGTTCATCTACATATTTTTGAGGCAGAGACACTCCCTAGAAAAATTATAATTAATAATATTCTATTTAAATTCTCTACGATGTTTACTTCTTCTATCCACAAAAGCGGTAACAAAGCTCTCTTGGTTTGCATCATCGATTTTATTCCAACAATCGGCCTGATGACAGCATTCAACTGAATTCTTTTCACTCCTTGTAGAGGAGTTCCAGTATTCTAAAATATAAATTTATAAAATGCTAAATTTCATTTATGTTCAACTCACTGGTTCGACCACGAGATACGTCTTGTGCTTATCCTCGTCAGGACTTAATCCTTCCACTGCATCTAAATATTTTTGATCAGCCCACAAGAAGTGTGGAAATGAGAAAAGCACTGGCACTCCTACAAAATGTAAAATGTGAGTTACTGATCAAAATTTTTACTGTAAATTAATTTTACCGAAACAAGTTTGCATGTCTATTACTCCATCCAAGAAACAACTTTTTTTGCCATCCATATCCCTGCTCAGTTTGCTGCAGTAGCAATCGTTTTCAGGATCTTTGGTGGAGCTTCGCAAAGTCTCAGGACTGGTTCCAAAGAGATATCCATCGATTCCTTTGTAACTCTCTTCACCTTTGTAATTGATTTCCACAAATCTGGAATGATGTGGAACGAATTTTTAGACACTTTCTAGAGAGTTGTTTGAAATCTGCCTTAATTTTTATGCTTGCTGTTCAACATTTTATACAGGCTGCGTCAAATCTCGGGCCCCAGAGAAAAATGCCATGTATACAGGGTGCGCCAGAACTCGCGCCCTAGAGAAAATTGCCATATAAGGTAAGATACCAGGAACAAGGTTTAAAGTTTGTACTTTGACTCTATTTATTTCTATTGGAAAAATAATTTTCAAAGTTTCTTTGCTATAGGCTATTAAAAGAGGAAACAAGGAAGCTGTATCCTAAATTGTAACTCTGTTCAATGTTATTTGTGGCTTTTATTGGCAAAATTTTTGTGCCTTTACTAAATAATTGTAAAAAAACATATACAAGATCATTACTATCATTAAATAGATATAAAAAAATGTCAAATGTTCAAAAATAAATGTCAAAATTTTTTGAAAGATAGAATTTTTTAAACATTTTTTTCATGTTTTTGGTATCTTACCTTACTTGAGAATTTTCTCTGGGGCGCGAGTTCTGGCGCACGCTGTAAAAGGTAAGATTCTAGAAACATGGAAAAGATATTAAAAAATTTCGGAGTTATGAGAGTTTAAATTTTGCACTTTGACTCTATTTATTTGTGTTGGAAAAATAATTTTGAAAGTGGTTTTTACTACAGGCTACAAGGACAGGAAACAAGGAAGCTGTATACTAAATTGTAACTCTGTTTAATGTTATTTGTGGCTTTTATTGGCAAAATTTTTGTACGTTTACTAAATAATTATAAAAAAAACATACACAAGATCGTTAGCATCATTAAATAGACATAAAAAATGTCAAAATTTTTCAAACTAGTTTTCCATGTTCCTGATATCTTAGCTTACTTGAAATGTTTCTCTGGGGCGCGAGTTCTGAACATCCTATATAGTTTTGACAGCAACACTCCAAATTCATCAAATTTAAAATTATTATGTTTAAAAGGTTATTTGTTTGAATTGGGTGTTAATTTGAATGTTGGTTTACAGTTCTTCTGTCACGATTTACAAACATTTGTTTTGCAGGCCATCAGTTTGCAAATTTTTAACGTGTTGTGTGTTACAAAATTTTATTTTTGTTGGTGTTTTTTTTACATTTGTTGCTTTTATATTGTTTGTTTCGTACATTGTGAGATTTTTGAAATAATTTGCTACAACTTTACAAAAGAGAAAAGATTTGTTGGAATTTTGTATTCAGATTTTGGAAGACCGAGGTTTTTTCTGTGAGATAAAAAAAAATGTTTCTAAAGATATTTTTTAACTTAACAAATTAGTATCAGTTATTGATGACATTTACTGTACACGAGTTGTATTTTTTTCTTAAATAAGTTTGATTTAATAAGGTTATTAAATAAGCGCAGAAGAAAGTTACTTTTTGTTACTGTCATTATATCCCATTTGTTTTTGTTTTAGCTTTTATCACAATTTAAATCTACTGATCGCTGAGCAATTTGATTTTTTCTCTGGAGATTTTTTCTTTTTTTTTTAAACATGCTTAATATTAAAATAATAAAATGGTTGTCATGATTATGATTTGAAGCACAAAGTAACAATGGCCATTGTTGTAGCCGAAATAGTAGTTCTTAAATTAATAATACTGGGTGTTTTTTTAATATTCCGAAAAATTGCAATCACAAATTCCACATCGAAAAATAACAAACTGAGTTTGTTATTTTGAGCGATTCTTTTCCTGCAATTACTTTATTTTTACCTACTCTTATCAATGGCGCGCGTATAGGTACGTCACCAAATACCAATTTTAATTTTTTTGCAAATTTTTTGCAATATTTACGACTTTTGTAGGTAATTTAGATTTTTATGCACAAACTTGTGATAAAGATCTTACATTATCTATTGTTAGGGTACTTGAATTAGATATAGTTGATGAAAATAACATTTCATTAAAGATATGATCTGAACTTTCACCTGCGTCAGTTTACATGTTTTATAGATTTACTCGTAAGATAAACAATTTATAAAATTAAGATAAATACTGTAGTTTTACTCTTGTATATCTTCTTTGTTTTCTGCAACAATATTTGAACTTTTTTGAAAGTTGTACGTACTTCGGGCATAATTGATAATAATTTTTTTGGAAATTAAGAGCTCTCTCTTTGGTCAGGCTATAAACATTATCGCGGGCCATAATCTCCTGATTGTGCCCTTAATGCATAAGCCTTAACGACAATTTTAATAATGACTTTTTTTATCACTCAAATTGATAAGTCTCTTGTTTACTTGTTTTTTTTAGAATTCAACTTTTTAATATCTTTACTATCTTCATGGATATTTTTTAGTTGTTGGGCGTTGGTTATGAAAAACTTACCTGCATATGTCCGTCGAGTAAATATAAAAAGAACTATCCGTACTAACTCTTGGAGGGTAAAGAGTTGAATCAGTTCCTTTAACTTCACTGCATGTGGTACCTTCTCCCCAAAATTTCGTATACAAACTGTCATTCCATGCAACAATATGTCCTAATTTTTCAATGTCGGTAAGACCCCTCTTTACCGTATATTTGCCATCATTTGGTTTTCGTTTCTTAAAAATTATTTTTTTATTATTTCATAATCACTCTCAATGAATGCTTACATAGTTCAAGTACGAAAATATCAAAGAATAGTCGGCCAAAAGATCCGAATTTCTTTTCGTTGCTGCAATTGCACATATTACGTCGTTTATGAGGCCACACATTGCAGGTGAAGTGTTATTGCAGAATTGAAAACCGTCAAATAACAGTTTTTTTACGTTTGCTTCTATAAAAACTTTCCCTTGGTTATTATCAAATGTTTGCTTAATGCAAGTGTCTGCAGCACCGGCCAAGTGAAGATCCTCAGCCAGTTGGTAAATTGACTGAAATGTAGAAATTTTGTAGTATTTGTGGAAAAAATTTGAAGTTTATAACAAGAAGGTAAACAATCGTAGGTAGATAAATGCAGAAACGAGTGTTATCGATTTTTTGATAAATATTTGCACATAGATATTACACGAACATATCAAATCAACAATAATTTATAGATTTGACATGTTTATTCGGTTCAAAATCAATTTTATACACAATCAAAAAGTAATAAGCAAATTTACTTGCATATGAAAAGTATAACGTTTCAACTTCATTTAAGAATTGATATGAAATATGACAGTTCAGGTTGGGAAATGGTCACTTTCTAACCTAAGCTGTTTTTCAAAATTTGAATTTCTTATTTTTCTGTTCTTTAAGGAAGATGATTGTGAATAAAATAGTATACAAATTTTGGTGGTCGTTGTTTTATCCTCGGCTTATTGCTAATCGTGGCGCTTCGCGCCATGGTCATCAAATTTCGCTTTGGTAATGAAGCACCTCTCACTGCGGTATGTAATCTACTATTAAATTAAATCAATATTTACCATCAATGCGGGATTCAAAACCGTCAAGTTTGACTTTTCTTTTAATGGGTGAGATGCCTCTGCGTCAAATTCGAAAGTTTCCTTTTGGGTGTATGAAATCGTGTCTTCTCCTTCATTGGTATCTAATATTGTTTTTTTCCTGTATTGTCTGAAAGATTTTATTGATGTTAGTTTTTAAATAGGCAGATATATGACATATGACATTGTTGTAAATTTATGTGATTATCTTAGTTTTGACAGATTTTGCAAATTGTTGTATCATTTATCTATATTTTCTTTTATCTTTCGATGCAGGAACTGATGTTTACTTACTTATATACAAAGGGGCCAACTTCCGTGAGTTTAGGTTTTTCACTTCCATCTAAAACTTGTTGTGGATTAGAAACGTTAAAGAGATACACTTTGAATTCGACTGGAAATGGTAGTTCAACGAATCTGTCATACTGTTCTGTGCCTTCCTCGAGTCTAACAGCCTAAATTTTAAATTTTGATCAAAAATTCAGATTGCGTATAATATTTTTATATTTACCTTATTTACTTCAGATTCTAGGAGGTCAGGAAATACTTTAAAAGCTAGTGCTAGAGACACTACCAAAAGGGCTACACTGATTACTAAACAAACAAGTAATACTTTGATAGTACAACAAGAACAAGCCATTTTGTGGTCTAAACTACTTCAGTGCCCAAATGAGAGTGTTTATAAGAATCAATGAAAGTGATGAGATAAATCATTAGTATCCCCTCTATGTTCTGATTATAATCTATAAAATAATTTTGATTGTTGTAAAAAAACAAGTGGTTTCACAACTTGACAGTTTCCTGCATTTTTGATTTTCTTCATTGCAAATTGTTTGTAATGATGAAAAAAAATACCTACAATTTGTTTTGATGAAGTGTAGGTTCACAGATGTATCTCTAATTACGTAAAATTGGCTTTGTTTTGGACTAAAAATAATTTGCAAAATAAGTATGCATAAATGATTTTATTAAAATGTTATTAATAGTTAGTGTTGTTTATCGGTAGATTAGATTTGCTAACATATCTTATTTAATGAAGAGTTTTTGTTTTGACAGGACATTGATGTTGAAAGTATCTAGGATTTGTTTTAGATAAAAACGTATTTTTTACTGAAATATATTTAATACAGTTTAGACTATTTGTTTATTACAACTAATATTTTCCTTTTTTGTTTGTTTTGTACTTTTTAACATTATCGTTTGTACATAAGCGATTTCTTGTGCTTTTTTAACTTTGTACCCTTGATTAGATATTAGAGATTGACACGTTCCAAGTTGAAACAATTGGGTACAAAGTCAAATTTTAAGTTAATGAAAAAAATGTTAAAATTGTTAAAAAGATTAACGTGCAAAGTGTAAAAACCAGGTACTTGGTAAAATTTGGAATTAAGGTATTAAATTTTATCTTTACGTTTTTTTATTTTTAAAACAAAATGTGTATTATTTATATCTAAAAATGTACTTACACATTATGCTAATTTAAGAAATTGCATTAAGAAATTACTATTTGTCTAAATTAATTCAAATGAAACAGTTGAAATCTAATGATGTAATGAATATAAAAAAAACTGTTATTATAAAATGCTCCCTCTGAGTGAAAATGTGCTGTAATAATTATGAAAAAAATGATTTTATCTGCAAACGTCAGAAAAATGACCATTTTATGACTTAATTACACAAGTAAAACTTTTTATCTTCTAGGCATGGATTAAAAACTGAGTTTTTTTTCGGCAAAGCGTTTCTACTTTTACTATGACATTGAGTGTTGTCTCTTTCACTGATTCAGCATTTTCAGTTTTGCTCCATAAACTATCACTTTTACTCCTAATATCATAATATCCTACTATTGTTTGCATCTTTATAAGAAATTTAAAAAAATATAATTTACCAAAAAATTACTCTTTACATCAGTGAACAAATATTAGCTGTCGTCATAGTAACAATGTTTATCTCTCAGAAACTATTCCTAAAGTTTTAATAATAATAGATTTTTTTTGTTGATTAAATTGCAATGCTCTTATAATTTCTGAACACCGTTGCCACATCGTATTTATTTAAAATTTGTTATTTACAAATAACTTTAATAATTTTTTTTGTTATTTTTGTCCTTATATGCAAGTATTTCTCTACCATCGTTCCATTGAGAGGTGGGCGACTTTTTGAACACGCATAACAAATAAGCAGGAAATTGTTGACCTTTTTGTTAAAATTCGATAATGTTTTACAACAATGAAACTGATAACATTTTAACTACCCAGCGAGAACTAGATTGTATAGAAGTGCATCTACATGTATATTACTGAAATATATCTTGTTGTTATCTTCGTCAATAAGCTCAAAATTCAATTGTCAGTTTTAGATTATTTTATAAATTAGTAAATATGTAATATTTAGCCAATTATAGTCCATAAAATGTGAGAAGATGAATGCTCCGCTTTTTTTGAACTATTAGCAACTCGCAAAAGCAATCATATCAGAGAAAAAATTACATTGAACAATTTTTTTTTGGTGATTTCATGTAACATGTATCTAGCTTCTAGAAATTTTAAGGATTGTGATGGTCATCCATTTTATGAGTTCTTAGTGTCGAATTAAAATCTACCTTTCTTTGCATAAAAAAGAACAAGAAAGCTTGCCTCGAGCGGAAATTCACCGAAAACAAAGGTTGTTTTAAATTTTTGTAATCTTATATTGCATCATTTATTAGTTTTTGTTTTTACTGTATAGAAATACACTACCTACCCATTTGAATTTTTAAATTACTAGATAAGATAAAATTTGTATTTAAAAAAAAAAAACAAGAAATTACGGGCTAGGATTTAGGGACATTCGTTACTTGGTTGTCATAAATTTAGTTAGGTTGGAAACTATGCAGATTCTGGTGACAAACAAAAGAAGTTATCGTAGCTTCGTAGCTATATCAAATATTTAGGTTAAGTCAGCTTATACAGGCTGTATTATAAAAAATTCCTCAAGCCATAATTTCATTACTTTTAAAGACGTTATAGTACTTTTTTGCTCAAAGTTGAACAGTTTTTCGTTATCAATCGTTTGCTTGCCTTAGATAAAATGAAAAAAATGTTCTATTTTTTCCACAGCCTATTTAATTTAATTTAATTTTCAAATTGCCTAAAATCAAAAGTTAGTGATAAATAATATTAAGTGAGCAATATTTTTAGAATTTTCGTGGTTTTTGATTAATAGAAAGTGACGTTTCAATATATATTTTATTTTTAAACATTTTTTTATTACTTAATAAAAACTATTATTATTTTAAAAATGCCCCTTCTCACTCTACTTTACTTTTTGGGGCAAAACCCTCTTGATCCTTGCCTTTACTGCGTTTATGAATTGTGGCAATGATCAAGTACATTTTCATCAAGTTAATTACCATGGTTTCTACTACCTGTGCTAATACTATTTACGAACACATCAGTGGCGTACGGTTTACCTCGAAAATAACTATAATAAATTTTATTTGGAGAACGTGTAAATAAAGAATTTTTCAAATATTTTTTCCAACATGTTCTCATTTGATACGACCAAGTATAAAATTTTGTCGGTTTATTTAAGAATTCAAGCAAGTATTATGAAGATTGGGGACAAATTTTGTGTAATTTACTGAAATCAGCTCAAAGTTGATGTATGTTATAAATTCTTCTTTAGCTTTAGTTTCAAAATTGTTACTCGTTCCCCGAAAACGGTGCAAATAGACACAAATTTAATTGCGTTTTTTCTCATTCATGTTTATTTTGTATTCCCGTTAATTCCTTGTTAAAAATTTGAGAATGTTTAGCAAACTTGCATTACAAATTGCGTCTAAATTTTAACTGTGGCTTTTTTCTGACTTCAGAATGCACATTTTTCGTCTCAAAAATGTCAAAAACTGTTAGCGGGGTTAAATATTACTCTGTTTTTAGGTTTACGTCTCTAAATATTTTTAAACGATTTTTTGCTGACGTTTAATAACATTGTTTTCAAAATACATAAACAGGAATTGCAAACTTTATTAAAATTACCATGAATTAGCTAGTGGTGCCAATGTTAAGATTGTTTGACAAGACCAGTGGTCTTGACTCAAATAAGATCATGTTTGTGTTGATGTCAATGTTGTTTTTTTAGTAGAATTTTTAGAATCACTTTGATTGTAAACAACATTTGAGTCATGTGAAATATTTTTAAGTACTTGAAAGATATACGTCTATTGACGTTTTATTCAGTGATAGGATTAATTTTGTGAGTGGCTTTATTGCTGTGTAATCAATAAATTATTTTTCAAAAATACGAGAGTCATTTTCTGCATTTTCTCAATGTGTGACTAGTTACTTTATACCAAATAAACATCTAATTAAATGAACAGATATAAAATTTGATTTACGTTATCGGTTAATTATTTTGTTCTTAAGAAAGGTTCTATTGTTCTAAAGTATTTAATCTTCTTGATAATGTTTAATGAGCATTAAGGGCCTGTTGATTTTTTCGTTAGTTGATTGTATAGATGTCATTTTGTTGATATCAACATTTAGAAGCTACCGAAAAATTATACAAATAAGAATTTTAACATAAAATCTAACTACGTTTATAATATAATTTTTACAGTCGCTGGGACAAACATGACAATGGCATATGTCAAAAAGAAGTCAAGTAGAAGTTTACATCGGGTAAATTTGGCTTTTTACAAATAATGTTATAAAAGTTATGACATAATATATTGTCAGAAACGTCAACTTAAAGGACAGTTTTTTAATGCTGTCTAAACTTAAAAGGGTTTTATAAATAACACAATTGATTTATAATTTTTTTAGATTCAAGATTCAGTCATCTTTATATTGCTTTTGATTTTGAGGGACAATTCAAAAACTTGAAACACAAAAAGCAAATTTTGGACGTCTCAGTTTGTAATGTCCTAGAGTTAAATATTTTTTTTTATTGATTTTGTTCTTTACTTCTGTTCGGTACAATAAACAAAACCATGTTTCTTAATATAAATTTTGTCTATCCCGACGCCTCCACCATATACAAGGTTATTCACGAGTAATATAGGCCTTAGAAAAAATTAAACACAACCAGTTATACATTGCCATCAGCTTCGTGGATCATTCATATTTATTTAAAAAAAATAAAGCATGGTTGGTTCTGTTTTTTTTTCAATTTGTCATGAACTTGACATATAAATCAATGTAATTTTTTTAAGGTTATTTTTATTTCAACAAAAATACAATAACAAGTCTTAAAAAATCAACGTAATAAGTTGGATAAAAACATAATTTAACCCGTCACACCAAACTTTTATTTCAAACACTTATAAGTGTTCAAAATGTTTCTTCAAAAAATTGCAATTGTGTCATAAATGATCGTCTTACTCTACTCAAGACTTCAGGTGTTATAAACCCACAGGCGTGAACAATTCTATTCTGCAAGTCTTCAATTCTTTCAACTGGTGTTTGGTACACTTTGTCTTTAACATAGAAAAAAGCTCACACAGAAAAATACTCACCAAAAAACCCACATACAAAAAACCCACAGAGAAAGAAGCTCACTATAAGCGGTGTTTGATGTAAATGGGTATTACGTTTTTTCTCTAGTTTCTATTCGTTAGTAATTTTTTTTTGTGTTGGGAGTTGTGCGCGTTACTTTGTTAAGAAAGCATTGAGTCACAACAGCAAAAGAAAAAGAGGCAGAGCTTATACCAACTCTGGGGGCAAACTGACGTCAAAAATGACTGAATTTTGACACTAAAGGTATGTTTACTATTAAAAAAAATAATATCCAGAGGCGTCGTAATAAAATATATTTCAAAACCACTGTATTTCTTTAAAAAAATAACATAAGTAGGTACTCATACATAAGATGAAGAATGATAAATAAATTATTACGTTGTTAAAGCATAAAAATAATTTTTAACAATGATATTTCTAATAATCCTCGCCCTCAAAATTTCTAGAGCAAAATTTGATTTCATCGCTGCTATCGTGTAAGAAAATTTTTGGAGAAAAAAATGCACGCCCATGGGTTTCATTATCTTAACGAAGTGTGCGAATTCCAGGTTTCTTCTCTGTCACTGTCATTTCGCCATCAGATGTGGAAGAAACTCTACACTTTTGATTTTACACTTTTCTTGAATAGGATTACAGCAAAAATTTATTCTAAAACATTTTTATTGGCATCTGATCGATTATAAATTCATCCACGACAGCAGAGATTAATTTTCTGTGAGCTTTTTTCGCGTGGGCTTTTTGACGGTTGGGCTTGAGTTTTTTTCTGGGTGGGTTTTTTTCATTGTGCGTTTTTTCTAAGTGGGCTTATTTCTTTGTGGGTTTTTTCTGTGAAGGTTTTCTGTGTAGGGTTGTTTCCATGTGAGGTTTTTTCTCAGTGCGTTTTTTTCTATGTGGTGTGGGTTGCCAGAAAAAGGTAAAAAAACATGGAAAAAATGTTAAAAAAATTTTATCTATAAAAATTTCGAAGTTATGAGAGTTTAAATTTTGCACTTTGTTTCTGTTAGAAAAATAATTTTTCAAGTTTTTTTGCTACAGGCTATTTGAAGTGCAAACAAGGAAGCTTAAATTGTAACTCTGTTCAATGTTATTTGTGGATTTTATTGGCAAAATTTTTGTACCTTTATTAAATAATTGTAAAAAAAAACATATACAAGATCATCCGTATCATTAGACATAAAAAATGTCAACTGTCAAAAAATAAATGTCAAAATTTTTTGACAGATAGAATTTTTTAAACATTTTTTCCATGTTTCTGGTATCTTATGTTACTTGAAATTTTTCTCTGGGACGCGAGTTCTGGCACACGCTGTATATTTAGTATATTTTGCTATGCAAAGTCGTTAAAACAGTATTTTAGGGGCCAAATTTATGTTGATAAACCAACGATGTCTTTATCATTCAAAAAACTGTCCAAACTAAGTTAAACAAAAGTTTTCTTTACTTTCAATCAAAACCTCCACTCGTGGTCCGCGATGATTCATGCAATTGCGTCATAGGCGCACAGATATCCACCTGTTTCAAATATACCTGATAAGAATAATGGTGTTTGAGATAACGTATTGTTGCAATGGTTAAATAAAAATGTTTGTCAATAAAGTTCATGACCAAAAAGTGGAGCTACGGGTATGTAAACTGAATTTTTTTGAATTTACTCAAACCACAATTTTAAGTGTACCATTTTTCGGAATTTGTATCTTAAAGAAAAATGCGATTATTTAGACAGCGAGTGCAAAATGTTCGCCGAACAAATCCTCACAAGTCAGGTGACTAGAGAGAAAACTAATGAAACTAAAGCGGATGTGGAGAATGAATTTAATAATTTGAAGCAGTTGCAAGACCAAAAAATGCACGAATTGACTGTAGCCAAAGAGAAAATTGTGACATTGTCTTCAGTGCTGGAAAATTCGGTAGGTAAGAGACGCGAAAGAGTGACTGAAGGAAATTAATTTGGTTTTGTAGAAATTGTCTCTGAGTGAGAGTAGATCGATGAGTGAAGTACTAGAGCTAAAAAATGAGATGATAAAGTGTTTACAAGAAGAATTAGTTCAAGTCCGATTAAAGGCGGCCGAGGATTGGGCTCTAGTCCGGGAGCTGAAACAGATTAGAGATGAATTGGAAAAAGATAAAGAAATGTTAACTAAGACAAAGCCGAAAACTATTGCACGGCTACAGCAGGATCTAATGACAGCAAAAATATTGGAAACGCAATATTCGGTCGAATTTGGTGAAATTCGAAAACAACTGGAGAAAATAAAATCAGAAATAGCTATTCATAAACCGGTTCGTTACTGTTTATTTTTTATTTCTTATTATTTAATATTTTTACATTAGGAATGCCACTTAAAATCAGAAGGTAGGATTAAATTGTTTACGAAAGGGGCAAAGTGGGCGAATGATGATGAAAAAAAAGACACTAAAGATATCGAAAAAGAAATCAAAGAATTGGAAAAAGAAAAATTGTTTCTTCACAATAAGATTCCTGATTTGCAAGCAAAAGTCGATGTCTTGAATAAACATATAAAGTTCAAGGAGGAAGAACGACGCACATTACAAGAAAAATTAGACAGTGTGAAAACAAAATATCAAAGTATTGAAAACATAACTTTGGAAAGAAGGAGACAATGTGAACATTTGGAAAGTAGTGCTTCCGAAAAAGTACACACAATACGTAATAGTAGTAGCGAAAAGAAGCAAAACATTGATGATCTTTCAAGTAAACTTAACGAAATGTCGGATAGAAAACAGGTAATTAAATAAGTGTCAAAAATCATTGTAAACACATATTTTTTAGAGTATCACTAATGAATTGAAGCAAAAGGAATTAACGACGATTCAGAACCTTGAGAAGAAAATTGTTATTTTGGAACAAAAAGTAAGAAATTTTTTGTTAATCTGAGACCTTGTTTTTTTAACCATTTTGTTTAAGATTAAACAATTAAATGTAGAGGAAGAAGAATGGAGGGAATCAATGCCTTCCGTTATTAAATTTTTGTAATTTTTTAATATAACTTTTAAAAGTAATTAATTGTAGTTTTAAAGTTATGGTTTTAAATCAAACAGGAAATTTTGTACGTAACAATAACAATAAAGTAACAAAAGTAATCTTTATTTTTTTTAAATCTACTCCAAACTTTAAATACCTACTTAAACTTTTAACAAAGACCAAAAGCGTTTTTAAAATTATTTTTTTTAAACAAAAAATAAACTCAAAAACATTATGAACATAAATTTTAAATTTTCATGATTTAATCTGCAACTTCGTGACACGCTTAGCAAAACCTGGAAATAAACGCATTATATCATCCAAATTTTAAAACAGCTTTTTTACCTACAACAAAACCAGATACGCCAGGGAGAATTAATATTATGAGGTTAAAACCTTGAAGCTAATAAACTGTTTGTGTCAAAAAATTTCCTCAGTTTAAAGCACCAACGGGAATCAGTTGAACTCAAAAAATGCCCAGGTGAGAAAAGATTATTTCTATCAAGACGGCGATGGTTAAATGTAGAGGCATTTTTTTGATAAAATACACAACAACCACTTCGGTTAAGTTCGGAAAATCGTCGTGATGAGCTCGGAACGCAACTTTAACAATTTATTAAAAAAAAAGTACTGACTAGAAAAGAATTTTGTTTAATTAGAGGTCATTTTTAAATCATAATCTTTAATTAAAAAAATTACCATACTGGGTTGCCATTTAAAAAAAATGTTTTTTTCAGAACTCGAAAACTAAAAGAAATTTCGAAAAATGTTATTCTTGATAAATGATCACATTTTAATTGGACTTTACGCTACACTAATTATTTTTTTGTAGAGTGCTTAGTTTACGAAAAAATCGCTTGGTTCCATACTTTTTATTCACCTGGTATGTTACCTATTGTTGAAGTTGAAGTTTCGATTAGTTCAATGTAACCAATTACAAAAAGCCCCGTTTACTTTAACAAAAAATTGCCAAGATCGGGCACAGGAGTTGTACGCTTTTCTTTGAATACAATAAATTAAGATTAATTTTGTATTTTGTATTTAATAAAAAAAATATTGAATATAACTTAAATATTTTTTTAATAAGTTTAGTCGACCGCAGCGACACAGAATTTTTAACAAGCTACTTCAAGGACGTATGCTTTAAATGCGTGTTTTTAATAGTTTATTTATCCAGTACGATTTTAGACAATTTTTAACAACTAGTGAGACTGTACGTTTGTCAAAAAAGTGTATAAGTATTCTTGAACTGTTTTATTGTCTTAAATCTAAAAATAAACAAAATAGGATAATTTTTTTAAATGTAGCACATTATAGTCTCTATGTTTATTCGATTTCTAACAAAAAATGCAAAAAAGTGGATTTCTGGGTTTGTAAAATAAAATATGGGTAGCAATATAGACAGAGAAATGCACACCTCTGTATTACTGGTTATATAAAGAGACAGCTGTAAACAACACTATTTTACAAGATAATTACTTGGAATGTTGATCCAAGTAATATTTAATATTACATAAAATAAGGACTTTTTGAACTTGTTTTTTAGAAAAAAACAAAATATTTTTATAATTATCATTGACTTGACTTTTATCAAATTTGAATTTCATGCTAACAGAAATAACAAAGAATTTTTATACATTTTCATATCTATTTAATTAAAAAAATAACTAAAATGAGTTTAATATACATACTTGGGAAAATAGACCTCTGAATATAAATCTTTACTCGTATTTTGTGTATTGAAGCAGTGTTTTTGATTAAGTTTAGCTAGTTAGAAAGTAATAAAGATACTTATAAAAAATAAACTTTCAATGCATTATGACGGTCAACGACTATAGCTATACATTTGGAAAATAAAATGTCTAGTAACTTGTTAAATTTTGTCGAGTTTTAATTTCCAAAAGCAATTAGATATGAAAGTTAAATAAAATTTGACTCCAAAATCAAATCTTTCGTCTCTACTTAACCCCTCTTTATAGTGCATTATAAATTACAATTTTTAAAAATTATTTTAGTTATTTTACTATATTAACGGATACCTTATGATTTCAATTCTAAATTTAGAAATTGTATCTATCCATTTTTTGCAAACTTTTGTTTATAATTCGTAAATTACAAAACCAAATAAACATCGTAGACGTATTGCAAGTTGCGTGGCATTAATAATGTATTGACACATTGTTTTTTGAAGGTGGACTTGACCTAAGTATAAATAGTTGTGAATTTGATATAAATCAAATTTGGATAAACGGCACGGTAGGAAAATTCTTTTCACTTGTCTGCAGACCACCTACCATCACGGAAGAAACAGTTATATCGAAGAGAAATAAATTTATACGTGGCATGATTTATGCAGCTTACTAATTTGAGAGAATAAAAGGTCGTAAGGCTCTAAACACCCACTTGTGTCAAAGTTTCAATTGATTACAAAAAAAACACAATAAAAGTGAGTTATATTTATGATCAGGCACAAAATTTGCGAAAATTTTGTAATTTCTCTGTTGTTTGACTAGTTCAGTTTTGATTGAAACAACAAAAGATGCTCAAAGACCACCCTCTGAGGTGTAATAGACGATCGAACGATTCGAGATAAAGATCTCGAATTAACCCAGAACCCCACTTTGACACAGTGATATAATCGCATACTTCGTGTCTACATTTCTATAGCGGATAGAATTTGCGCACGAGTGACTGATTTTACCATTTGTAAACCAAAGGCAAGTACCGTTAAAGTTTAGGAATTTTCTTGAAGAGGGTGACGAATTTAAGCGACACAGAGTGTCTCAAAATCAACACTCAACCTCAAAAATCTCATCGAACGACATCCATTTTTCAAAGACTAAATCTGGGAATCTTAAAAAATTACATGTGCAAAATGTTTTCTTAGAAAACAAAAATTATAATACTAATCTAGTGCATCGCCTAAAATTATTTTCAACCATATACAGCATGTTCCAAAGTTACGATACAAACTTGTGTTTTTTTAAATGAAACACAGTATGTATTTTTGGATGTAGCTTTTTAAAACAATGTTTTTACGCTAAACTTTTATTAGTCAATTTTGCTTAGTTTTAGAAAAAAGACGTTTTTTTTACGTAAACTTGCACTTTTTAAACATTCATTACACAAAAACTAAGACAGCTAGTACAAATTTTTGTTTACATCTGCAAATAAGAAAGTACATAATTTAAATCTGTAGTAATTTTTTAGTGTTTTGCATTTGTGAAGATTAATAAATGAACAAGTTTGTTAAAAGTTAAATAACTTAAAAAAAATAAGTGGGACAACTTATTTTTTATTTTTGCATCTAATAGATTGATAACTTGTCTATTTAAAAAACTTTTGTCCACAATCACTCTATAAAGAGACTTTATTCCATACTTTAGATGCGTATAAAGTACCACTTTATCCACTAATGGAATAAAGTAACTTTATTCCACTGTTAGTAACCAGCGCACCGTAACAGCTTACTACGTTTAACCGATAGCACATTTGGCGTGACGTTTAAAAGTCAGTTTAATTTTTAATTAAGTTAATAATTTGGGCCTGTGATTGTGGATAAAACGTTATATTGCAGTCGTGTGTTAGTCGCGTTTTATCCTCTTGTAATAAAATTTTAGATTCAGTATTTGTTTGGTATTAGAAATATGTGTAGCATATTTTCCAAACAATTAGTCAATTAAAAAAGTGTAAAGAATTCATTGAATAAACGTTATGGTGTGTCTGTGTTTTATTTAAAAGAACCGCTAAAATAGACCAATGAGAAGTACGTCCAAATAAATGGATCAAAGTGGAAACAGATTCATTTGAGTCTCCTTCCGGACCTCTTCGGACGAAATCACCAGGACCTCTCTTGGTGGAATAACTTCAGGACTGCTTCTGAAGGATTGTACTCTTTGGACATCTTCAAAGAATACGGTCGACGGGACCTTCTTCCGTCGTTAAACCACACCTGCCCCTGGGAGCCGAGTTCACCTCTGAACACGGGCCACGGGATCCCTTCCGTGGTAAGGGCTTAACATCTGGGACTTCTTCCAGGTGGTGTCACTTCCTGGACCTCTCCAGGAAAACAAACGACGGGACTTCTCCCCTCAAATTCACCCACGGAGGACCTCTTCTCCGAGGGCTAGGGTTCACTAGGTTCGAGTTAGAGTTTGTTTTGTAGAGTTTGTTGTTTTATCTGTTGTTACTGTTGTTATAGTTACTAAATAAATTTCTCTTTTCAATCACCTGTGTTTAATTCAATCGAACCTCCCCACTCCTCTCCACTGTATAAAAGCTGGCCGGAAAGGCATTCTTATGTAGTGTAGACCTGGAGAACATCTCCAAATAGTTCTTTTCCGACTTTTAGGAAAAAGTTGGTGGCGCCCGGTTTAAATAAGTAAATAATAGTAAAAGAAAAGACATTACACACTTAAGAAAATTAACCCCTCGAACTGACGTTCTCGCGGTTAAACATTCTTGCGTGGATAAAACGCTATCTAACACACTCTTACAATAAATAACTATTAATGTCTAGAATTGATAAATGAAAAGATATTTATTAGGCTATTCTCTAAAAATCTGCTATAATCTATAAGCTGGTATATTCCATAGCTAATAGAGCTCTGTATATAAATTTTATAAAGTCCTTATAGAATCGTAACAAAATTGGTATTCTCTAAGCGTCTATGTAAACATTCGAGTTATAGCGCTGTAATTACCCTAAAGTCTGGTTTTTATTAAGTGGAAATGTCAAACAGTCTTAACAAATTTATTCATGGTAATTTTTGGATGTTGGCAGTTCTAGTTTTTAATTTAATTAATAAAAAATGGCATTCAGCAAAAAAATCGTCTAAGAAAATTTAGAAATGAAAACACAAAAACGGGAACAAATTGAGTATCGCGAACAGTTTTTGGAAATTTGAAAACGAAAAGTCAGAAAAAGACTACCGCTAAAATTTAGACACAATTTGTAATGTAAATTTGCTAAACATTCTCTAATTTTTAGTAAGAAATTAATGAGAATACAACATAAACATCAAAGAGAAAAAAACGTAATTAAATTAGTAGGATTGTTTGCAACGTTTTTGAAGAACGAGTTGAAGAAGTAACAATTTTGAAACTAAAGCTGAAGGAG